CAGCAGGTCTGGCAGCATCTGTGGAGAAAAAAATCAGAGTTAACTTTTCGGGTCCGAAGACCCTTCCTCAGAATTTTCTTTCGGTTTTTATTTCATATAAAGGACTTGTTCCAAGTTTGGCTCACATATCCATGACAACGGTTGTCATTATTCAGAGTTTATAAGATTAGAATAGAAGCTATTAGATTATTTTAGTTGAAATGGTCAAATGGCAATAGCCTCAATTAAGAGATAGTAAGAACTGCCGATGCTGGAGTCAGATAACAGTGTGGAGCTGGAGGAACACAGCAGGCCAGGCAGCATCAGAGGAGCAGGAAAGCTGACGTTTCAGGTCAGGATCCTTCTTCAGAAGAAGCTCCACACTGTGCAACCTCAGTTGAAGTTGGTTTTCCTTTGCCAATAATGACTGATGTCATCAGTTTCCCTCAAACTGTAAATTAATGGGTCAGAATTTTTGGGAGACAGACTTGTGCCACAGCCTCAATGTGCAGGTTGACAGACTCAATACTTTGTTATTTGAAAGGAAGGGATTTCAATATGTTTGCAAACAAGTCTTCAGACATAACACCTTATACAGGGGTTCCTGATTTGCAAACGTCTGACTTACGAATACTCAAAGTTATGAATGCGGTCCCAACAGGGGTGTATTTTAAAGATTTAACATGCAAATATTTCCTGTACTTACAAATGTCTGCTTTGTATTGCCCTGTATTATGTCCCAACTTGCATACAAATCGATTTGCAAACAGATTCAGCAATGGAACCCATTCCATCCAGGGAAATGTCTGTCGTTTAAAGAACACAAACACAGTATTGCAGGAAATTGAAATATCTTTTAAGTTGAATAAATAACATTTTTGTCAACATATTTCACAAGTTTTATTACTGTATCTTCACTGTTAATAATTATTGGGTTGGAAACTGCGCATGTCTCTTTTATAAATAACTGTTTGAGGGTCTTCCCATCAACTTTAAATTCTGACCTATTGTTCTCAATTTTATTGTCTAAATTGAAGTTTCAAAACTAAACTTGTAATGTGTCAAATCTAATTATTCTTAATACCCTTCATTTAATGCAGAATAGATTTATTTTAAAGAAATACCCATCTCTGCTTCCTTTATAGTCATTGACATCACTCCCCTTGAAGAAAAACACAAGGCCAACATCCAATTCATGAGACTCAATGAGCTCATTGAGACAAAACCCTGGACAGATGAAGAAATTGAAATTCAGCCAGTTTGTTATGTTAAATATTTTGCCCTGAGCAGCAGTGTTAGAGCCATGGCAATGACAATGTATAAGCTCAAAGATAGCATGGTTCTTCAAAAGTGCTGGCTACGAGCTAGTTCAGTGCCCAGTTATGAAGAAAGATCTCTGGAGGACCTCTGTGCTGGGATCTGGAGCTGCTGCTGGACTTACTACAAAGAACTATGCAGGAAAACTGACATGGGCACCATAACATTCCAGGAGATTGACTGGATGTTTTTCAGTCGACGAGAGAACTCTGATGAAATTAGGAATGAGTTAGCCATCATGTTCAAAATGGTAAAAGGAAGCGATTTGCCTGAGAAAAGACTTGAGCAGATCCAACAGTATTTTCAACTTCACTCAGCTGTTGACTCTGCACGAATACTTCAAGACATTGTGAGGGAGCTAAACCTACAGGGAGACTTCAGAAAAATTCATAACTTGACAAAAGTAGTAAGTACATTCCCTTGTAGATTAATGACATATTGGCATACAGTTCCTGGCAAATGAACATTTCTAAAGTGGGTCAAATCTTGGACTGGCTGTTGGCTTTGTCACTTACTAGCTATTAGTGTTGCGTTTTGGCTTTGGGTTTGGATGTGTTGGGAAGAGGCAGTGTTTTCTACTGTTTCTCAGATTAATGCTAATTTTGAGGTTGCATGATATCTGAGTTTTATAAATACTGATGTGACTAATGTAGGAGCTGGAAAAACATTAAATGTGAGCCATAGTAACATTTCAGAAGTCATGCAGGCAGCAAACATTCTGCAATCATTGTAGAGAAGCAGTCAAATGCTGATAGAGAATGCCTGCAGGACCTGTCCCAAATCGTTGAATTATGATTGGCCAAATACTCTTCCTCACTTACAGGGGAAAAAGTAAAAATAGCTCTTGCTTATCTAGTGATGATAAAGTGAAGCAAATTATCATCAGTAAATAGCCTGTTAGCTCCTACAAATGTTATGACACACATTCATGAATGATTCCATATTGATTACACAATCAGTGTTCGTTTTGAAACTTTACATTCTTCAGTCAGTAACAGACATTTTTTCTTGTTTTTCATTCAGACTGAACACTCTTTCAAGAAACAGTCTCTCGAATACATTGACAGAGACTTAATTGAGACCAAAAAACTGCTGGTGAAAATCACTCCAGAATGCAGAGAGTGTTTACAGGAATTTGTTCAAAAGCAGCCATTTGTAAACTGGGTGAAAGATACTTTGCCAAGTAAGCAGAAGTACAATGATTTGATCTCTGTATATAATTCTGGATATCCTTTTGCCACTCTGGACATGTTTTGAAACATGTTTAATGGTTCTAAAGTGCTGTTGCCCTCATCCTTTGTATCCTTCGCTTTCCCTCAGACTTAAGGGAGGTCAAAGTGTTTGTGGACCTGGCATCCATATCAGCTGGAGAAAATGACATGGAAATTGATCGTGTCGCCTGTTTCCATGACGCTGTGATGGGATATTCTCCCTTAATTTATGAACTGCAGCAGAACACAGATTTTGAAGGGTTAAAGACCACTGTACATAAAATCCAGAAGGCACTTAGGAGTGATTTGAAACTTTCACAAAAACTGGTGATAACCTTAAAATGTTTTAATTCTGAGCCATGTAGTCATTGCAAGTGTGCAAGAATTACTTCAGTTTTTGCTTCAATTCTGAAATTGTCTAAACCGAATGACATTCTTAGCTCCACATTTTAATTTCTTTATTCCGTTAGAGAGATTCTGCTCGCTACTTGGAATGGCTGAAAACCTTAAGGGAAAGTCATGGATCTGTAGAGACTTCCTCTCTATCTCTAGCAGCAGCCATCAATCACAAAGGAGTTTATATTGTGGGCAGCATTCTTCAACCACATGATGAAAAGGTACTTGCATTTAAATAGATGGTTAGTCAACGCAAAGTTAAGAGAAGGCTGTGGTGAGGTACCACCAATAGTAGAGTGAAGTTATATGGGGGGGCTTAGGTTGAAGCTAGAGTAGGTGATCCGAGGGTGAGGTTGGGTTAGGTTTTTCTGGGATGAGGTTTTGTTTGGTAGTGCAGGGTGTTGCTGGAAATCAAAGTCTTAGTGACAAACACTCAGCAGTCTGAATGAATCATAGGCCAAATGCAAAGCAAAAACTTCCAATTTTTTTGCCCCAACAGTGTAGTTCTAGCTTCAGACCTATAAGGCTATACTCTCTTTTGAATGTGTGTGAATTTATTTCTTTAGCCACATCAGTCACCACTCAGAAGTAAGTATCTCATACTCAAATTTCTGAAAAGGTTCTCATCACACAATGTTCTGCATCGAATCGCTGAAGATGGCAATATATATCTTGTTATTTGGTGATATGTTTTTATTTTTTTCTTGCATGGGTATTATTTTTATTTTTTGGTGGAAACCACTGGCAAAGTCAGCATCCCTTGTCCATTTCTAATTGTCCTTGCACTATGTGGAATGTTAGGCCATTTCAAAGGCTAGGTAAGAATCAGCCACATTGCTGTGGACCTGCAGCCTTCTGTAGGGCAGACCAAGTAAGGATGACCAATTTCCCTCACTAAAGGGCATTAGCGAAGCAGATGGAGAATCTATGGTGGGCTAAGATCACAAGATAATTGTGATCACAAGATCATCATCCTCAGTTACATGGATAGATTAACCTAACTGAAGACAGCATAAGTTACAAGAGACCCTATTGTATTGCACAAGGCTCAATTACTTAGAGTGACAATGGTACAAATGGAAAGCATGCACAACTGCTCCTCCAGAGCGTATTTACTATAGGCTCTTAATTATGCAATAAGATCTATTTTCTTAAAGTCTACACAATAGTACTCGACTTAAAACCAAAATTTTCCATGAATTGTACATGTTTGAACATGTTCAACAGAAGTTGAGCTGTGTTACCTGAGTTTATTTGTGACCTTGTTTAGCTGTCACTTGAAAGAGTCCTTCACCTGGCTCTTTATGACGAGAGCACTGACGAATGGAAGAAATACACACTTCAAGACCTGAAAGAATTGCAGAACAAATTAATGCTGATGTCAGGAAAAAGAGAATGTGGGAAAGAGGAAGTTGCCAGATTCATGGAGGTAATTTAATAAAATAGTATGGCTTTGATCTTGGAAGCAAACCTAAAAAATGTTTTATCTATATGAAGACAGTTTTTTTTTTCCGTCTTTTATTCATTCATGGAATGAGGGTGTTGCTGGCCAGGCAGCATTTATTGCCCATCCCTAATTGCGCAGATGGCAGTTAAGAGTCAACCACATTGCTGTGGGCCTGAAGTCACATGTAGGCCAGACCAAGTAAGGATGGCAGTTTCCTTCCTTAAAGGATGTTACTGAGCCAGATGGGTTTATCTGACAATCGGCAATGGATTCATGGCCATCAGTAGTCTCTTAATTCCAGATATTTTTGTTGAATTCAAATTCCACCATCTGCCGTGGTGGGATTCAAACCCGGATCCCTGGAATGTTATCCGGGTATCTGGATTAACAGCCCATCGATAATACCAATTGGCCATCGCCTCCCCGGGACTGCAATAGGTCCTGGTGGTACTATAAGAGGAGGCCCCAGGGAACAAGTGGGTGAGACAGCCTCCCCAGAGTCAGCTTCTGGTGAGAAGAGGGGCTGTGGAAGGGTCATTGTAAGCCATGGGCAGGGGTGCGGAAGGAGGGGCTGGTGAGTGTTTCAATGGGCGTGGAACTTGCTGCAACCATGGCTTTCTGTCCATGTGGTGTATGGCTCCCTCTTAAGCTGGTAAAAATACCAGTGTCAATGGGTTGAAATCCTTAACTAACCCAGAATCGACCACTCAATTGACCTTCGAGTGGGAAGGCCAATCCTGACTTCCCCTGTGCCTGATTTGATTGGGGGAGTCGGGAAGACAATGGGCTCTCAACCCTGCACATTCTCACCTAATTATGCACCCCTCCCCACCTCCCATCCTGCTGTTGTGGGAGAGCTAAGCTCTGCCCAGCGTGCTTCAACGATCAGGCTTGGTGTGGAATGCTACTCCCTCACACTGACTGGCAAGATACCAAACTTCATTCAGTTATCAGCAATGAAATACTTGAAAATAATGTTTGCGAAAATGAACACAGAAAAGGTACCAGGAAAGCGTAACCAATATTTATTTATAATCATTTGATACTTCAAAAGAAACTGATGGCAAGATGCTTTTCGTGTGCAAAGTGTCTTTGTAGAAACAGCTTCTTCAGTTATAGTTTTGTATCAATGTTAGATTTGCTTGGAGCACCAATGACAATTGAAAATTTACACAGCATTTAAATAGTACAACTTATTGCACTTGCAGCTATACCCTTAAAAAATTTAAGTCCCAAAAATTGCTGTAATTAACTGGACACCTAATTTAATACAGTATTTATAGTCTTGGACACATTTTACTTTCAACAGAATTTTAACAATGTCCAAAGGCTCGGAAAAGCATTTATGGAATTGTACTCATCTGGAAACATGCTTTATAGAAACTGGAAGGCACATGTGCATTGCAGTAAAGAGAGTGATGTTTGTATGACAATGGACTTTAATGTAAAGGATATTGGACCCCTGAAAGTATGTGGAGATCTCTCAGAGCAGCTCCAGGTATTGTGCAGAGCACTTGAAAATTGCCTTCAGGAGTGGCGTGAGTTTATTGAGAACAGCCGTGCAAAATACTACCATCTGAATTACTACACAGCAGAACAGATACTGTATCTGTGTTCAGAACTGGGAGGCTTTGCTGCTGGGAGGACTTTGTGTGAGCAGGTAATGACAATGTTATCATTCATCAAACCTGACTGCACAGCAAATGACATCAGAAGGGCAATGTCTCAGCTAATTGCATTGAGTGAGAATTCTGAAGATGAGGAGACAAGTGACTTTGAGCTGGAAGCTGAAGACAGTGACAGTGAGGAGGTTGGTATGGATTCGACAGGACTTGATCTGCCAACTGCATGTTCACTGCGGTACTTCACAGAAAGAGATCATGTTCAAAGACGTACTCATGACCGTTATGAGGAATGTGATAATGAATTAACAGAGTTCCAGTATGCTGAACCTTCTGAATTCCAATGTTCAGAACGTGCCCGATTCCAACAGATTGAGTCTTCAGAATCTCTATGTGAAGAAATGCCTGATGCTAGCATATTAAAAATGGCTTTCCAAAAAGAAGTCACAAATCTTTCCGAGGCAATTACATTACTCTGGAACACGTTTATGGAAGACATGACCACTTTTTTAATTGACCATTTAGATCTATCTGCTTGTGGTGAATTACTTAGCTGCCTGTCTCAAATGAATGAAGCAACAGTAAGCAGGCAGCTTCCTCCATCTCTGCGTCACGGAAGACCAAATCTCATAATGTGTGCACAGCCTGAGATCTTTCGGGCTGCACTATGCATCTACATGCAGACTCAAGGGCACCCTCTGCCTACATATGATGAAGTTCTTCTTTGCTCTGAAGAAACAACTAACGAAGAAGTAGAGCTATTCTTACGAAGGGCTTTGAGCAGAGGGTCTCACGAACAGAAAATTTACACAGTGATTCATGCTGATTGCCTAAGTTATGAGACAGGCGTCAGATTTGGAGAACTATTTGAGCAATTGCTCTGTCACTGTAATCCAGACTATCAGTTTGTTGCGATTTGCGATGCTAAGCGCCAGCATTGCTATGTCCCATCATATCTCAGTCATTTCAAAGTACCTGCAGGACTGAATAGTAAAACAGAAGCCATTAAGCAATACTTGGAACAGCATTTCACTGTCCCCCAGGGGCAGATCTCTGCAGCCCATGTATTCCATGACCGACTTTCAGTCAGAGTCGTATCATCAAAAAGACCTGGTGTGGGTAAGTACCAAAGTCTGTCCTTCTTTCCTTAGCTTCGTGCTCCATTGACATTATGGGATTGACAAGCGCACCCAACATTTTTGTGTGCAGGGTGACAGAGAGAGGGGAGAGAAGATGGACAAATCCGAGATGTGGGGCAGAAGGATGAGGGAGATTTAACAACTGGCAAAAAAAAAGATTTGGAAGTAGATTTTTCTCTCTTTCCCCATTCTTTAACACTTAAATTTCCCTGAACAACCAATAATAAACCTCATTGGGAGCCCTGACATCGGATTAATAAATATTCCACTTTTGAACAGAATTTCAGATCAACTGGGACCTCAGTGACAGCTGTCTAGCTAATTCTGAGATTTGTTTCTCAACAGGAAAGTCACTCTACATTAAACAGTTACATAAAAGGCTTTCACAGCGCAGTATTAGAAAACACACTGCCCTGAAGAGAATCCGATTAATTGAACCTACAATTGATGAAAATCGTATTGTCCAAATGCTGCATGATCTTTCATGTCACTACGATCTTCGACAGCCAATGATATTCCATATTGACGCATCGCCTGTAAGTCATCATCAACATTCATGGTCCTGATGTGTTTGGGGTAGATGTGGGGCTGTGAGGAGACAACCTATCAAAGCTGAGGACGCACAGGCCAAGACGCGTTTGGAATGGGAATTGGCTTGCTCTTTTTTTTAACCTGCTCCCCCGACCCACTCAGCACCCACTTTCCACCTCGGTCAAATAAATAAAAATCAGTGCCGTATTCCTGAAAATAAAAGGTCAGTTTTTAGGTGAAAATGAAATTTGTACATGTTCTGCAAAACTTTTCTACATCGGTCGTCTGTGAAAGATCATTCTTTTTACAAATTATATCAATTGCTTTCTAATCTTAATTGAAATTTCTTGAGCAAAAGTTTTCTGTAAAATTCTATATCTATAACTAACAGATAACAATCCCCTGCTGTTTGACATACATTCAGTCCAAGAAAGAGAAAACGTGACTTCTCACATTTTTAATGGACTGGCCTGCTATGCTTAGAATTTTACAAGAACCATTCATATAAGGTCATCATCTGGGGACTTCTGGTTGTCCACCAATTTCCATTCCTCTCTGTCAAAGATGGAAGATGATACAGGCTGTATACACAGGGTGGTTTTCACAGCAGAAGCATTGCATAAATGTTATTCTCTTTCTGAAAAAAAAATCAGGTATTTGTAAAGAGCCAGTTGTTCTTCCAAAAAATGAAGTTGATCTTATCCAGAAATCAGCTTTGTTTTGTGCCATTGTTTATGTTAACCTTCACAAGTATTTTCTTTTTGTAAGGTAAGGAAAAGATTGGAGGAATTCCTTTTCAAGATCCTAATTCTAGGATTCCTGAAGGACAGTTGGGGAAGGATCTGGAAACGTAACACGACTCACCTGTATATTGTGGAACATCTGGATGTCAATGAATTCCTTTATAAACAACAAGCTCAGCAGGTTATTTAGACCACAGTACTTTCAATGAATGGTATCTCTTAAGGTTTGACACACACAAATTATATCCTTGATGTGCATGTTTTACAGTAGATATTTATTTACAGTGGGTTTATACTTGCATATTAACAAGAATGTATTTGAGTATGTTAAGCATGTATATCTAAAACATGCCAATTGAAACCTTCATATAATGGTGACGCAGCACAAATTTAAATATTTTCTGTTCTTCTGGTGACTTTTAGCTGGAGTCTTGCCAACAGGTCAAACATTTCCAAACTAAACAGGAACCTGAACCTGAATAAATTAGACACTTACCTAAAGAAACCAGCAAAAAGATTGCATTGTCATCAAGATAAAGAAATTAAACCAAAACTGATATAACTGATCAAGCGTTATGATCCCAAGTAATATTGCTATTGGACAAGACATACCTCTGAATGAAAGTTGGCTTTGACAGTTTGTAATCCTTTTTGTTTATTGTGGTGGTCATTCACTGATACATAGTGCACAAGGATGCAGATTTTCTTTAACAACAAAATAGGAGTTTATTGCATTTAAAAAAGGGGAAAAAGACAAAAGGGAGATGAATAAAAGAAAGCAGGCTACCTAAATATAGAATGCAGGCAAAAGATCATAAAATATACATCAAAATATATATTTGTACATCAGCCTCATCTATTCCCCAACACCAAAACTTTACAGTGAGTGAAATTCTCTTTACATCAAGTCTTCAGGTTTGACTTAACTCTTCTTCCTGCTTTCATCCAGTTCTGTGATTGTTATTTTGTCCACACTAACAACTAATAAAGCTTCTTCTTTTCATAATACAATGGATGCAACTGTAAGAAAAAGAAATCTGCTCTTTAAGTAATACTTCTTTCAATGCTTTTTTTCTTCATGTAGGCAAGCATGGGACTTCTAGGTATCCTACCCACTATTCACTGCAGATCACCAAGAGAAGTTCGTCAGCTCGAACTAAAAAAGCACCAAGGCATCCACCATAATATTTTAGATCCATTAATGGACGAAGATGTATTTGTCAGTGAAGCCTATCAAAGACCTTACCAATATCTCCGTAGGTTCAGTGTGCATAAGGACATTGATGCATTCTCATATAAAAAGTATAGCGTTGAAGGAAATCCAGCTGAATGCCTAACTTTATTCCTACAGTACTGTGGACTAAGGGATCCTTCCTGGGCAGAGTTGAGAAACTTTACTTGGTTTCTGAACCTTCAGCTAAAAAGCTGTGAGCAGTCAGTATTTTGTAAACCTTTGTTTGTTGGAGATACCCTGATTGGTTTTAAAAACTTCATTGTTGAGTTCATGATTCTCATGGCTCAAGACTTTGCAACACCCGCGATGAACATTTCAGATGAAAGCCCTGATTTCTCAGCTTTCCAAGAAGAGGAAGACCTGCTTCCATTCTTGATCCGGAAAAGATGGGAAACCCACCCTCACCCATACATCTTTTTCAATGCAGACCATTTGTCCATGACGTTCTTTGGTTTTCATTTAAAAAGTGTTGGAAAGCGAATTGATGCTGTGGATCATCGGACTGGTGAGGTTCTGAAAGGAAATGTCATGTCTCCACAACTATTAAATGGGCTTAGCATGCAGAGAATACAGTTCAACGAGGATATCGATAATCTTCCCAGAGAAGTGAAAATCCGAAAGCTTTGCCTTGTACTTGGGATTGAAGAAGCAATCGATCCAGATGAGACTTATGAACTAACTTCAGACAACATGATGAAAATGTTGGCCATCCACATGCGCTTTAGGAGTGAAATTCCTGTCATCATCATGGGGGAGACTGGCTGTGGGAAGACAAGACTGATTAGGTTTCTTTGTGATCTACAGAAAGGGAAGCATAAGACTGAAACAATGAAACTGGTTAAGGTACACGGAGGCACAACAGCAGAGATAATCTATGCAAAAATTGGAGAAGCAGAAAAGCTTGCCCTTGGAAACAAGGTCAAGTATGGCTTGGACACGGTCCTGTTCTTTGATGAAGCCAACACCACAGAAGCTATCCATGCCATTAAAGAAGTCCTCTGTGATAAAACAGTTCAAGGTAAAACAATGAAAAGCAACACTGGTTTAAAAATAATTGCAGCCTGCAACCCTTACAGAAAGCATTCGGAAGCTATGATCAAACGTCTGGAAATGGCTGGATTGGGATACCGAGTTAAAGTTGATGAGACTGAAGATAAGCTGGGAAAAATACCTCTGAGACAGCTAGTTTACAGGGTGCAGCCATTACCGCCAAGTATGATTCCACTTGTATGGGATTTTGGACAGCTGAGTGACAAAGCTGAGTTGGCTTACACGAATCAGATTGTTCGAAGATATATCCGGAGCCATAATCTTCCTTTTCTGCATGCGGAAATCATAATGCAAGTTCTAGCAGCCTCACAGAAATTCATGAGGCAAAAGAAAGATGAGTGCAGCTTTGTGAGCTTGCGAGATGTGGAACGATGCATGAAAGTCTTGGTGTGGTTTTATGCACACAGAGAAAATCTATTTGACTACCCAAACCCAAACACAAATATGTTACAAGCTCTGATATCGGCGCTAGGAGTTTGTTACTATGCTTCCCTGTCATGCAAGGCACGGTATTTAGCAACGATATGCAAATTTTTCCCTGAACCTTATGATTCAGCGACTGAAATCCACAATCAAATTGTCCGCTGTCAAAATATTTTCATGAAAAATATAAACACACGGGAAACAATAGCTAAAAATGAGGCCTTAAATGAGAATGTTTTCTTAATGATCATTTGCATTGAACTGAGGATCCCACTATTCCTTGTTGGTAAACCTGGCAGTTCAAAATCTTTGGCAAAAACTGTTGTGTTAGATGCAATGCAGGGGCAATCTGCTTACTGTGAGCTGTTCAAAAAGCTGAAACAAGTTCACATGGTGTCTTTTCAATGCAGCCCCCATTCAACAGCAGAGGGGATCATCAACACGTTCAAACAGTGTGCACGCTTTCAGCAGGGCAAAAACCTGGATGAGTATGCTTCCGTTGTGGTCTTAGATGAAATTGGCTTGGCTGAAGACTCTCCACAGATGCCATTGAAAGCTCTGCATCCATTGTTGGAAGATGGCTGCATTGATGATGACAATCCAGTCCCTCACAAGAAAGTGGGCTTCATTGGAATTTCAAACTGGGCCTTGGATCCTGCCAAAATGAACCGTGGGATTTTTGTTTCTCGATTGGATCCATGTCAGAACGAGCTCATCGAGACAGCCAAAGGAATATGTTCATCTGACCCCGCTTTGCAACAAAAGGTGCAACATCTCTTTCCCACCTTTGCAAAAGCGTATCTAGAAGTTTGTAACATTGAAGACGGGCAGTTTTTTGGACTCCGCGACTACTACAGCCTTGTCAAGATGGTTTTTATCACAGCGAAGGAGACAAAGTGCAATCCAACAGAGCAACAGTTGGCTGACACCATCTCTCGGAATTTCAGTGGTAAAGATGACTTTAATCCACTTGAAATTTTTCTCCCTAATTTAGACTCTCTTCCTCAAATAAGTACACTGGAGATGGTGAAGAAAAATATCAGAGCAGATTCCAGTGCTGGAGAGTGTCGCTATCTACTGCTCCTCACCAAGAATTACGTTGCCCTTCAGATTGTACTGCAACATGTTTTTCTTGATCTGGATGACAAGCCTGAGATTATATTCGGGTCCAGTTTTCCAAAGGATCAGGAGTATACGCAAATTTGCAGAAATGTAAATCGAGTGAAGACCTGCATGGAGACTGGGAGGACAGTAATCCTTCTGAATTTGAAAAACTTGTATGAAAGCCTTTATGATGCCTTGAATCAGTACTACGTGACCCTTGGAGAATACCAATATGTGGATCTGGGCTTAGGAACACATCGTGTCAAATGCAGAGTGGACAAAAATTTTCGACTCATTGTTATTGAAGATAAGGATGTTGTCTATGAACAGTTTCCCATTCCTTTGATCAATAGACTTGAAAAACACAGCCTGGACATGGGTACTGTACTTAACCAACAGCAGCAAAGTATCAACAAACAATTGGAGCTATGGGTCAAGGAGTTTGTGTCAGTGAAAATGAGTCATGATGGACTTCAAGGTGGATTAATGCTAAACCCTTCAGAGGTGATCATTGGATTCCACACTGATGCATGTCCCAGTGTACTGCTGCAAGTTCTGGATACTGCAGACCTGACAAACAATGATATCTTTGAAGATCCTCGAATTATACTTAAATCAGCAAAAAGACTTCTTTTAAACTGTGTGACTCCAGATGCCGTGGTTCGTTTAAAACATTCAAAGCTAGGGGATCAGGAAGTCAAGGAGCAATGGGAAGAATACTTTGTTCAACAATGCCATAGGTCACTGAGTTATTATATTCATCACCATCTTGGAAACACAGAAACACGACGACACAATTTTGTTGAGGTAATAATGTTGAAATGTACACATTTAGAGGAATTTCAATATTGCGATTCCGGCGAAGAGATTACACTGTGTAAAAAATTGAAATCCAATTATGGGATCTTAGCTACCATGATTTATTTAATAAGCATGAAGCCCCTGAGTCAAGTGATTGCCTCATCATTTATTGAGTTTACTTAGTACAACTTGGTCTGTGGAAGGGACACCCCTCAGTATTAACTTGTTTGTGTCTCTCCACAAGTGCGTTAGGGCTTTGTTTGGCTGCGCAGAGGTTCTGGCTTGTCCTGAACTTATTTAACATGGACCCTCTCGCTGCAGTGCTTCAAAACCTGTCCTTTGTTTGACACGATGAACTTTTTTTATGACTTCCCCAGTTTCCCATCCCTGGATCCAAAAGGTATTGCTAGTCAATCATGCTCAGGAGGGTTCCTCCAAATGGGATGCTGAGCTAGAAGGTGGAAAGTAACTAGATTCAACAGGTCATTATAGCTTCAGCTACCATTCATCATATGCTTTCAGCAATTGTAGCTTTTCTTTTCTGTTTTGATAATGAAATTCTGAAGCTTAAGCTGGATAGCCAAAAGATATATCCAAATTGCTTGGATTTGATTTATATCTTCAATTTGTACTATTTAAATATACAGGTAATGGTAAAGTCCCCATAGTCCTAGCAGGCAACAGGGCCGCTCTCTCATTAGAAAGGGCAGTGGTGGTGGGTTAACCCAATGGTCACATTGCCTCAGGCAAGAGGAGGGCTTGCAAGGAGAATCCTACATGCTGCTGCAGGAATTGAACCTGTGCTGTTGGTATCAGTCTGCATTGCAAACCAGCCATCTAGCCGACAAAAACAGAAGTTACTGGAAAAGCTCAGCAGGTCTGGCAGCGTCTGTGAAGAAAAAAAAATCAGAGTTAACGTTTCGGGTCCGGTGACCCTTCCTCAGAATACCTGAGAAGATTGAAAATTTTCAGGACAAAATGTGAGAAAGAAACGTTGGAAGCTTTGAAGCCATGTAGAATGAAACCCCTCTCATGTTTTACCCATGCCTGATACTACCTCCTGTGTAAATGCCGACCTGAGTTAACAAGTGCTTTAACATAGAGTCATACAGCATGGAAACAGACCTTTCGGTCCAACTTGTCCATGCCAACCAGGTTTCCTAAACTGAACTATACCCATTTGCCTGTGCTTGGCCCATATCCCGCTAAACCTTTCCTATTCATGTACCTGTCCAAATGTCTTTTAAATGTTGTGATTGTACCCACCTCCACTCTTCCTCTGGCAGCTCATTCCATACAAGCACCACCCTCTGCATGAAAAAGTTGCTCATTAGGTCCCTTTTAAATCTTTCCCCTCTCACCTTAAACCTACGTCCTCTAATTTTGGACTCCGCTGTCATTGGGAAAATATCTTGGCTATTCACCTTATCTATGCCCCTCATGATTTTATAAACCTCTACAAGGTCACCCCTCAGCCTCCGATGCTCCAGCGATAAAAAGTTTCAGCCTATCCAGCTCTCCTTATAACTCAAACCCTCCAGTCCCAGCAACAGAAGTAGTAGGAACTGCCAGTGCTGGGGTCTGAGATAACATCGTGTAGAGCTGGATGAACACAGCAGGCCAGGCAGCATCAGAGGAGCAGGAAAGTTGACGTTTCGGATCTGGACCCTTCTTCAGAAATGGGGGAGGGGAAGGGGGCTCTGAAATAAATAGAGAGAGGGGGAGGTGGTGATAGAAGGTGGATACTGGAGCAGATAGGTGGAGAGAAGATGAACAGGTCAAGGAGGCGGGGATGAAGCCAGTACAGGTGAGTGTGGGTAGGGAGTTGGGATGGGAGTTAGTCAGTGAGGAGGGAGGGGTGGGTAGGTAGGAGGAAAGACGGACAGGTCAAGGAGGCCGGGACGAGAGGTGGGGTGCTGGTCTGAGGTTGAGGTTGGGGGTGGGGAGATTTTGAAGCTAGTAAAGTCCACATTGACACCACTGGGTTGTAGGGTTCCCAGGCGAAATATGAGGTGCTGCTCCTCCAGTTTTCGGGTGGCGTTGTTGTGGCACTGGAGGGCCCGGGATGGACATGTCGTCCAAGGAGTGGGAGGGGGAGTTGAAGTGGTTCGCGACTGGGAGGTGTTGTCATTTGTCACGAACTGAGCGTAGGTGCTCCACAAAGCGGTGTCCGAGCCTCCGCTTGGTTTCCCCGATGTAGAGGAGGCCACATCGGGAACAGCGGATACAATATACCACATTAGCAGATGTGCAGGTTAACATCTGTTTAATGTGGAAGGTTTTCTTGGGGCCTGGGATGGAGGTGAGGGGGGAGGTGTAGGGGCAGGTGTAGCACTTCCTGCGGTTGCAGGGAAAGATGCCGGGGGTGGTGGGGCTAGTGGGGAGTGTGGAGCGGATGAGGGAGTTGCAGAGAGAGCGGTCCCTCCAGAAGGCAGATAAGGGTGGGGAGGGAAATATATCCTTGGTAGTGGGGTCAGATTGCAGGTGGCGGAAGTGGTGGAGAATGATGTGTTTAATCCGAAGTTTGATGGGGTGATACGTGAGGACAAGGGGAATTCTGTCTTTGTTGTTATTGCGAGGAGTGGGTGTGAGGGCTGAAGTGCAGGAAATGCAAGAGATGCGGTTGAGGGCCATTTTGACCACTGAGGCGGAGGGGGGTGGAAATTGCGGTCCTTGAAAAACGAAGATATCTGGGATGTCCGGGTGTGGAACGCCTCATCTTGGGAACAGATGCAGCGGAGGCAAAGGAATTGGGAATAGGGGATAGCATTCTTGCAGGAAGCTGGGTGAGAGGAGGTGTATTCTAGGTAGCTGTGGGAGTTGGTGGGCTTGAAATAGATATCGGTCTCCAGATGGTTGCCAGAGATGGAGACAGAGGTGTCCAGGAAGAAGAGAGAGGTATCAGAGATGGTCCAGGTGAACTTAATGTTGGGGTGAAGGTGTTAGTAAAGTGGATGAACTGTTTGAGCTCCTCATGGGAGCACGAGGCGGCGCCAATACAGTCATCGATGTAACGGAGGAAGAGGTGATGGATGGGGCCAGTGTAGCTGCGGAAGAGGGATCCTACAAAGAGGCAGGCATAGCTTGGGCCCATGCGGGTACCCATGGCTACCCACTTTGTCTGTAGGAAGTGGGCGGAGTTGAAGGAGAAGTTGTTAAGTGTAAGGATGAGTTCGGTTAGGCGGATGAGGGTGTCAGTGGAGGGGGACTGGTCGGGCCCGTGGGACAGGAAGAAGCGGAGGGCTTTTAGGCCATCTGCATGGGGAATGCAAGTGTATAGGGACTGAACATCCATGGTAAAGATGAGGTGTTGGGGACCAGGGAATCGGATATTTTGGAGGAGGTGGAGAGCGTGGGTGGTGTTACGGACGTAGGTCGGCAGTTCCTGGACCGGGGCGGACAAAATGGAGTCGAGATAGGTGGAGATAAATTCGGTGGGGCAGGAGCAGGTAGAGACAATGGGTTAACCAGGGCAGTCGTGTTTATGGATTTTGGGAAGGAGATAGAAACGGGCGGTGCGGGGTTGGGGAATGATGAGGTTGGAGGCTGTGGGTGGGAGGTCACCTGAGGTGATGAGGTTATGGATGGTCTGCTCCACTATCCACCTTCTATCACTGCCTCCCCCTCTCTCTATTTATTTCAGAGCTCCCTTCACCTCCCCCATTTCTGGAAAAGGGTCCAAACCAGAAACGTCAGCTTTCTTGCTCCTCTGATGCTGCCTGGCCTGCTGTCTTCATCCAGCTCCACACCTTGTTATCTAGTCCCAGCAACAGCCTTGTAAATCTTTTCTGTACCCTTTCTGGTTTAACAACATCATTCCTATTGCAGGGTGACCAGAATTGTATTCAGTATTCCAAATGTGGCTCTCACCAATGTCTTGTACAGCCGCAGCATGATGTGCCTTAATAAATCATTTACAAGAAATTGCTACTACCTGCACAGAGTACAGTGTGTAAAGGGAAGAGACCATAACACATAGGAGGAGAGTTCGGTCATTCAACCCATAAACTCTGTTCAGCTGTTCACTGAGATCACAGAAGTGTTATTGAGCAGAAAGAAGCCATTCAGTCCATTGTGCCTACACTGGCTCATTAAACAAGCATTATTACCTAATGCCAGTCTCCTGCTTTTCCCCATATCCTTGTACACTATTTCTGTCCAAAGAATCATCCAGCGCCCTCCTGAGTGCCTCAGTTCAATCTGCCTCCACTACACTTACATATTCCTTACCCTCAGTACTCACTGACTGAAAACCTTTTTCCTCACTTCACTCTTGCTTCTTTTGCGGATCACTTTCAATCTGTGCCGTCGTTCTTGTTCCTTTTACAAGCAGGTCTCAGTTGATCTGATTAATCCTTAAAAAATCCAAACAATTGTGGATGCTGGAAACGACAGAAATTGCTGGGAAAAACTCAGCAGGTCGGGCAGCATCTGTGGAGACAGCAGAGTTAGCATTTCCCGTCTTCAGAAGGGATTTAATTCTCAACTCCACTTTCCTGCCTTTTCCCCATAACCTGTGAATCCTTTCCTAATTAAAACTCTGTTTACATCAGACTTGGAAAAAGCTCAATGACCCCAGCCTCGACAGCTCTCTGTGGTAAAGAATTCCAGAGATTCACTGCTCTCTGAGAGAAGAAATTTCTCCTCATCTCTGTCTTAAATAGGTGACTCCATATTCTAAGATGATGCTGTCTGGTCCTAGACTCTCATACCAAGGAAAACAGCCTGTCCATATCTAATCTGTGAAGCTCCCTGAGAATCCATTATCCTTCAATAAGGCTGTCTCACACACAGCATTCTCTTCCTTAATGTTAAATCCAACAGCTGCAAATGTTCCAGACCGCATTACTTTAGGTCTACATAAAATAATGCTATGTTTTGTGAGTAATAGGTGATAAAGCCGCCAAATTCCTCAAACTGTGAGCACAAGAGAAAGCCTGTTTTCACTTCCTTACATCTGTCTGTGCTTTGGTGTTGCTTCTGCTTAATATCCTTGCCCAGCCCTAGTTTATCTCTGGAGTTCAGAGACAGTATAAAAGTGGAGGCGTTATCTATTTATGGTGGCTCAGTGGTTAGCACTGCTGCCTCACAGAGCTAGGGTTCCATTCCAGCCTTGGATGACTTTTTGTGTGGAGTTTGCACATTCCCCTTGTGTCTGGGATAACAAGGTGTAGAGCTGGATGAACACAGCAGGCCAGGCAGCATCAGAGGAGCAGGAAAGCCGACGTTTCGGGTCTGGACCCTTCTTCAGAAATTGTAGGTTTCCTCTGGGTCCTCCGGTTTCCTCCAACAGTCCAAAGATATGCCAGTTAAGTGGATTAGCCATGCTAAAGTGCCCCATAGTGCCCAGTGTTGCCTGAAATTAACTTCAACTTTAACTCAATTCATTTAACTCCACTTTTTCTTACCTTAAATTAATTCACATTTAGCCCAACTCTTACTTTAACTCTATAAGTTTGGCTTGAATCCAGTTATACCCTGATTTGAGTGAAGTGGCCAACATAGTTCTCCGTGTAGATCTCACTTCATGGTTCCTTGTCTTCTCTGAAGATTTCCTTCAGGGCACATGCTTCTCAAATATAGCTTCTTCTCAGAAAATTCTTTTGTTCTGTTAACTTATCGGAAAGTGTGCTCTGTTTCCAGAAAGCTCTCTGGCACTCAGCCAATGAATTGATCAAAGCCTGATCACATTGTTCGATCCTAACCAATGTAGTTTCTTGGTAAATAACTCCCAAATGTTTACTGGATGTGAAGCTGGTAAAGCACAGTAGGTCAGACAGAATCCGAGGAGCAGGAATGTCAATGTTTTGGCCCAAAATGTTGACTTTCCTGCTCCTCGGATGCTGTCTGACCTGCTGTGCATTTCCAACTTCACATCTATTGGCTGTGGCTTCCAGCATCTGCAGTCCTTACTGTCTCCAAGTCCCAAATGTTTACAGCAAGCCATAAACACTGACATTCCGTACTTCGTATAAAGTAGTAGTGGTGGCTGCATGTCCAGGGACCACATGACATTTGCCTTATTTGGTCAACACAGGAAACTGTAGCTCACAACATGTCCTGGCTGCAGTTTAACTGAGGTCAAAGTCTAAACTAGTTTGACCAAAATTCCCAGCATGCTTGATTGTAGATCTTTACCGATATTGTAAGCACTTCTGGTGCTGGCCACCTGACCACACCAGGGATGTGCAGGCTCTGTGGATTAGCCACAATAAATATGGGGTTATTGCCGGGGGGGGGATCTGGGTTTGGGTGGGATGCTCTTTTGAGTGTCAGTACAGGCTCGATGGGCCAAATGGCCTCTTTCTGCACAGTAGGGATTGTATGATTGACTAGTCAATTGGCTTCCTTCCACTATTCCTTTCCTGATTCATATTGAATGCATTTTTCAAAGAGAAATCAGACTTCGAGTAAATAACGTGAACTCAAGCTGCAGGTTGAGCATTGAAAAGGTTGAAGTTGCACCCACTGACATGGGCATCATCATGCTAACTGTAAAATACTGTTGTTCCAGGTAACAACATTTTCCAGGCTTCTCACCAAGACAGACGTCAAGGTACTGGTCAAGGAACTTGGTGACAATGTCGAGGAATTTTCCCTGCTGTTCCTGCACCAGTTTGACACAGAATATTCCTTCTGTAAAAAGATAAGGTCAGTATCCTGGGTTTGCCGCAATTGTTAATCATTGCAACAGTGTTCAATAACGTAAAGATACAATCAAACCCCACATCTGGGATGCGCCTCTGTAATCAGACGCCCTTCTGGTCGTACACTCACAAGTGGTTGTTGTCTGTGTACATTATCCAAAAGAAATGCATCAAAGACTAACATACGTCAGACAAACCAAGCTGCGAGATTGATTCAAGAAGATGGGAAGAGTGGTCACCCAGCCTGTGCAAGTACAACAATCCCGTAGTTGAATAGCCCATCGAAGGTTACCTTCTATAGGAAGGATGTTGTTAAACTTGAGAGGGTGCAGCAAAGATTTCCAAGGATGTTGCCAGGACTGGAGGGTTTGAGTTATAGGGAGAGACTGAATACGTTGGGGCTTTTTTTCCCTGGAGTATTTGAGACTGAGGAGTGACCTTTATCGAGGTTTGTAAAATCATGAGGGGAATGGATAGGGTGAATAGCCAAGGTCTTTTACCCATTGTAGGATAGTTCATAACGAGAGGACATGGTTTTAAGGTGAGAGGGGAAAGACCTGAGGGACAACTTTTCCACACAGAGAGCGGTGTGTGTGTATGGAACGAGCTGCCAGAGGAAGTGGTGGAGGCAGATACAATTACAACATATAAAAGGTGTCTGGATGGCTACATGAATAGGATGGGTCTAAGAGGGTTATGGGCTAAATGCTGACCTAGTCTCATTTGCCAGATTGGGATGTCTGGTTGGCGTGGATGAGTTGGACCAAAAGGACTGTCTCCGTGCTGTATGACTCTATCAGATGTTTGCACAAGTGAAAATGTCTTTGTATGAGTCAGTGCCTTCTGGATAGTAATTGAGGGATGGGAGGAGAGAAAGGAATGGTTAAAAAACATCCATGTGACCTTCCTTCAGCAATGACTCAGATCCAAGGTTGCTGGATTACTGAGGTACAACTTGCATTTATTTTCATTGACAGGTCCAGAAATTGGTAAAAATTGACTCAGTGCAGTTAAGCAAATGTTCAAATTTTCTGATCTGATAAAAAAAATGTTCTTACCAAGTCATTCAGAAAAAATACAAAACAACACCTTCTTCGTGTGTTCCAGATTGAAAGTGTGTTAATCTTTTTATGCCCGCAGAGAGTCATTTCAAAGCCTGAGGACTGGCACTCAAGTGTTACTGATACAAATGGATACTGAAGAGTCCTCCCACAGTTCAGAGCTGATTGCTTCTGCCAAGTAAGTACAAATGGTTTCGCCATCAGGTAGGAACAACAGGGCATTCACACTAAAACAAACACAAAGAACTGTGGATGCTGAAGGTCTGAAACCAAAACTGAGAGCACTGGAGAAACTCAGCAGGCCTGGCAGCATCTGGAGAGAGAAAACACAGTTAATGTTTCAAACCCGTTGTCAGAACTGAAATAGCTGGGGAAGGGTGGACTATATGCTGATGATGGAATGGGGGGGAAGAATAGACTATATGGAGACAGTGCTCAAACAGAGAAGGAGGGAGGAAAAAAGGGATAGCAAAAAAAACAAAAGCCGAAAGAACTGCGGATGCTGTAAATCAGGAACAAAAACAAAGTTGCTGGAAAAGCTCAGCAGGTCTGGCAGCATCTGTGAAGGATAAAACAGAGTTAATGTTTCGGGTCCGGTTCTGAGGAAGGTTCACTGGACCCGAAACGTTAACTCTGTTCTTTTCCTTCACAGATGCTGCCAGACCTGCTGAGCTTTTCCAGCAACTTTGTTTTTTTTAGCTATAACAAAAACAAAGGGGATTACTGATAAGCCAAGAGGGAGATAGCACCCCACCCACTACTCTCTGTCTCTGTCTCTCTCTCTCTGTCTCTCTCTCTAAATCTCCTTCCATCTGTGGGCACCATCTCCATGTGCTCTATTCTCCACCCTGTCACCAGCATTTATTCCACCCTTCCCTAGCTGTCTTCGGTTCTCACTATTTTCTCTCAACACATGCTGCCAGACTCGCTGAGTTCCTCCAGTACTTCCTGTCTTTGTTCAAGGTGTTCACACTGCTCTAAAAGGAGTCCTGGTGTGACTGGACCTACTCACATATTGAAACCAAGAGATTATACAATCCAGAAAGATTGAACAGGCTGGAGGTCTTTTCTCTAGAAAAGGATTGACCTGCTGAAGGTATTTTAACATTGTAAATCGACTTATTAGGGTGGAAGATGTTCTTGCAGACAAGACCAGAACTAAGGGCCATAGATATAAAGTTGGTGATTAATAAATGCAACCTGGGGTTAAACGTCTTTACAAAGAGAGAGGCTAGGTTGTGAATCTCACAAACACAAAACTGGGGTGAATAGCATTTGAGGGAAGTTAGAAAAACACTTGATGTGGATAGTAATTAAAGGAAATATTGATGCTCTTTAACATATAGGGTTTGGAGAAGCCTTAAGTGCAGCATAGTCATGGATTTGTTGGGTCAACTGGTCTGATTTTGTCCTGGAAATAATTTCTAATTCTTAAGAAGTTGGTTGATTTGACAGTGATGTTTAGAAATGCTGGAGTTTTGCTTTGCAATAATATGTTTATCCCCTGTGCATCATTAGATCTATGAGTTTCAACCACCTCTAGGTTAGTGCTTCAATTTAGAAAATGTCAGACAGGGTTGGATGCCACAGGCAATCTCAAAATTGAACATTTCTTGAGGAGATTTCCCGTGAGATTATTTTTATTTTTGCTCTTTTGAGGTGCTTAATGCAGTATCCTCCTGCTCATTTGACAATGACTGAACATTTAAGGGTATTCGATTTGGAATCACCTTTTCCTGATACATTCAGAGGAGTGTGTTGTAAAATGATGCAGTGAGAGCTGACAGTTTTGTAACCACTAAATGCTGAATGATGGAAAATCACTGTCTCAGTGAATCAGAGCTTCACTTCTCATCTCTAGTTACCCTTGATAAGGGGGTGGTCAGCTGCCTTGTTGAACCACTGCAGTCTGTTTGCTGTAGGTAGACATACAATGCCCTTCAGGATGGAATTTCAGGATTTTGATGTAACAATACTGATGGAACAGCGATATATTCCCAAGTTAGGATAGTGAGTGACTGGAGGTGGGCTTACAGGTGATGGTGTACCCATGGATCTGCTGCCCTTGTACTCCAGATAGAAGTGGTCCTAGATTTGGAAGGTACTGTCTAAGGAGTCTTGGTGAATTTCTGCAGTGCATCTTGTAGATAGTACACACGGCAGCTACTGAGCTTCTGTTGTTGACGTAATGGCTTTTTTTGTGGATGTGGGCCAATCAAGCTGGCTTTGTCCTGGATGGTGTCAAACTTCTTGAATGTTGTTGGAGCAGCACTCATCCAGGCAAGTGGAGAGATATCCCGTCTTGTCAATATTACATCTTGATACCTTGTAGTTGGTTAACAGACTCTGAGGAATCAGGAGATAAATTACTTGCAGCAGATTGTTAGCCATTGGTTAGTATTTAAACAGTATTTACACGACTCGTCCAGTTCAGTTTCCAGTCAGTGGTAATTCCAAGATGTTGATGGTGGGGGCTTCAGCTGTAATATTGCTATTGACTGTCAAGAGGCTTTGGTTAGGTTCTGTCTTCTTAAAGATGGTCATTGCTTGGCACTTGTACTGCATGAATGTTTTTGCCAATTCTGAGCCGAAGCTTCAATATTGTCCAAGTCTTGCTGAATTTGGACATGGACTGAAGATATGTCTTGGAGTTGGAATGACCAACCTCCAACAACTGCAACCGTCTTCCTATGTGCCAGGTATGAGTCCAGCCAGTGTCTCCTGTTGATGTTGGTTGGATGATATGATCTTGATTTTAAAATCTAACATTGAGGCCTTATATTTAATTTCCAGATATTGTACAATGAACGAAATGAATCTGATGAGCTCTACATCCAAGTCAAACTGCTTTGTGTATTTTATCACAAAGCTCTCTCGAATTGCAGGCCGAACAAAATATATTGGATTTCAAGGAGGTATGTTCAACTGGAGAGATGGCACAGTTTTGCATTGGGATAGTAGTCATGTCTGGTGTAAACTAGCAGGAATTTTGTGTCATATTTGATGCAGAAAGCCAAGAATAATGCAGCACAGGAGGAAGCTGCATGTGTGTGCCATGTAAATACTGTTGTTGTCATAAAAAAAAGCTAGTTCACTATTGTCCTTCAGGGAAGGAAATCTGCCTTTCTTACCTGGTGTGGCCCAGATGTGACTATAGACCCACAATGATATAGTTGACTCTTATCTGCCCTCTGGATAATTAGAGATGTATAATAAATGCTGATGCCGGCAGCATGTTACGATTTTTTTTAAAAAATCAATCTTTGCACATAAGTCTTTAAGTGGTGGTAACACTCTGTTGTTGCAGTATGAATGTAGGAGCTGACCAATGAGGGCAGAACTACCTGCAACTTCGGGGAGTAGTTCAAAGATGCTATATGGAGGAGAGGCACCATCCTGTTTGTGAGTGTGAAGTATCAGGCCAACTTCCCAACTGATCTTAAAACAAAGTGACTGAAAATAGATAGCAGGGAAGTCAGCAGAAGCAAAGAAAACAAATAAATGGGTGCTTATTGTTGTGGGAACACTCTTCAGTCTTGACATGTATCTTGATTACTGTGCAGGCCAATGGCTTTCTGTCCACATTGACGATGTGACTGAATCAGAGGAGATGACCTCCGATCTATCTGCATTCTATAACCTGACTATCAGCGAACTGTTTGCAAAGGCTTTGGGTGTACCCGCAGGTAATTTATTGCTTACATCAGAGTGAGTTAAATTGTGCTTCTTGCACTGTTGTATGAAGGAGCATGCTATATAGTAATATTAATAATTAATAAAGTAATCCAGCTCTGAGGAAGGGTCACCGGACCCGAAACGTTAACTCTGTTTTTTCTTTCACAGATGCTGCCAGACCTGCTGAGCTTTTCCAGCAACTTTGTTTTTGTTGCTATAAAGTAATAATGTGTTGAGGTGCTCAGATTAAAGTTGCAGCCGTTTGCAAACAGCTACGTTCCTCTCTGTTTGCTGTCATTTTGAGGCACAGTGATTGGCTTTTCATCTTCTACAATTCATGAAGAACTAAAAATATTTGTACCTGATGAGGCCACATTTTTGTTAGCTTCCATAACATAAGAATAAGAAATAGATAACCTAGCACTCAAAGATTGGACAGACATTTATTGCAGCTCCCAATATATGCACATATTTCAATCATAGACACTTCAATATTTGGGGCAATGCTAAGCTGTACAGTTACAAAAAGTAGCACATATCCATCAGTGCATCATGCTTCGAGTGGCCCCAGTAACATGGAGTCCAAGACGTTATATACCATCAGATCACATGCTATGATTTGGTGATGATATCGTGAGCATGTCTCTTTAAGGTATACAGCATATTAACAATGAAACATCACACAATAGGGTGTATACAGCTTTAAAAGAACATTTGATGTGAAGGAGCTGATTCCTTCCTGGGCCAACTCTGCCCTTCAAAGTTATCAGCATGTCATAAAGACATACTGCAACTTTTAAGGGAGAATGAGGCCTGTGCTTCCTATTAGACTGTTTGGAAAATGCAGTTAAATTGCAGTGTTAGACATGTAACTTCTTAAGATTTGAATTTTTAGATAGTTGATGAGAGTGGTAATTAGTAACAAACACAGAGAATGCTGAAGAAGCACAGCAGGCCTGGCAGCTTCTGTGGAGCGATGGTATGACCTTTTCTTCAGTCCCTAAAGGGATTGGAAAACAATGTTTTATGCTTGTGACAGAGGAGTAGTGAGGGGAACAGATAGTGTAAAGGCCAAGTGGTTGCTAATCCTGGTGAAAGAGAAATAGAGATGTAAAATGGGTGTAAATTACAGTGTGAAAAGGAGAAAATGGATCTCCTCTGCTCAGAGAAAAGTGAAGGATACACAGCCACGGGGTCGTGGATGTGGGAGGGATGGATGTAAGAAAAATAGAGAACAGATATCGCGTGGTCAGGCTCTGAAGTCATAGAATTTAATATTGAGTCCTAGAGGCTATAAAGTACCTAAGTGAAAAATGAGGGTTATTCTTCCAGTTTGCTTTAAGCTTGGATGGAACACCATAGCAGGGCTCAGATGGAAATGTTAGCATGGGAGCAAGGTGGTTTATTGAAATGGCAAGCAACTGGGAGATCAGGATCAGTCTTATTGACAGTGCAGAGCTGTTATGCAAAACAATAGATATTACTATTTCCTGCATTAGGAGTTAATTTATTCATCTATTTCAGGTCATTTACTGCATTAAGGATGTCACAGTAATTTAAGATGTTGTAATAAAATGCTACAGTGTTCAATTCTGAACCCACAGATAGATCATAGAACTGTACAGCATGGAAACAGACCCTCTGGTCCAACTCGTCCATGCTGACCAGATATCTTAAATTAATCTGGTCCCATTTGCCAGCATTTGGCCCATATCCCTCTAAACCCTTCCTATTCATATACCCATCCAGATGCCTTTTAAATGTTGTAATTGTACCAGCCTCCACCACCTCCTCTGGCAGCTTATTCCACACACGCACCACTCTCTGCGTGAAAAAATTGCCCTTTAAATCCCTTCTAAATCTTTTCTCTCTGAACTTAAACCTATGCTTGAGATAGTAGGAACTGCAGATGCTGGAGAATCCAAGACAACAAGATGCAGAGCTGGATAAACACAGCAGGCCAAGCAGCATCATAGGAGCAGGAAGGCTGACGTTTCGGGCCTAGACCCTTCATGGCCCAGGGAAAAGACTTTGTCTAATCAGCCTATCCATGGCCCTCATGATTTTATAAACCTCTATAAGGTCACCCCTCAGCCTCCAACTCTCCAGGGAAAATAGCTGCTGCCTATTCAGCATCTCCCTATAGTTCAAATCCTCCAACTCTGGCAACATCCTTGTAAATCTTTTCTGAACCCTTTTAAGTTTCACAACATTCTTCCTATAACAGGGAGACCAGAATTGGACGCAGTTTTCCAAAAGTGGCCTAATCAATGTCGTGTACAGCCGTAATATGACCTCCCAACTCCTTTACTTAATGCACTGACCAATAAAGGCATACTAAACACTGCCTTCACTATCCTGTCTACCTGTTGACTCTACTTTCTAGGAACTCATAATGCATAAAAACTGAAAGAACTGTGGATGCTGTAAATGAGAGACCGAAACAGAAATTGTTGGAAAAGCTCAGCAGGGCTGGCTGCCTCTGCGGAGAGAAATCAGAGTCAACGTTTTGGGTCGAGTGACCCCTTCCTCACAGATAATGGAGATAGTTTTTAAAAGGTGTATTAGTGACCTCTGGTGGCAGGAACCAGAGGTACACCAGTTCAACTTAATCCAATAGTTTGGAGTTGTCGGGTAGTTCCAGCCACAACCATAATTGGTACCTATCCTTCATCTACAAAGTGCTCATTTAAAATATATTGACCAAATGTGTGTCATTCATTGTGAGAGTATGACCATGGGGCACTATTAAGTCTGTATTACCTTGACTTTACAAAACTCTGCTTTTTCCTTTAGCAATTGATGAGCAGAACACAATTCTAGAAGATGATGGAAAAATCCAGGTATAAACTAATTAATGAAATGTTCGTACTGCAGAAATGTTTCTTCAATGTGATTAACCAAAGATGTATTAAAAAGGAAACTGTTTACAGTCATTAACATGGTGCGTTGTTTGATCGAAGTTGAATGTTACATGGGAAGTTGTGACATGCTAAACCATTCGGGATGTTAAACATCGGAGCTTGATTATTGGTATACGCTTTTCTGTTTAAAGTTTTATTCTGATATTTTCTTTTCCAAATCCAACAGCACTGATTACTTGAAATAAAGGTAGAAAGTTTTGGAGAAACTTAGCAGGTCTGGCAGCATCTATGGAGAGAGAAAAAGAGTCAATGTTTTGAGACCGGTATAGCTCAACTATACTGTAGAATAGAGGGCTCAAAATGTTAACTCTTTCTTTCCTCATTGATGCTGCCAGACCAGCTGAACTTCTCCAGCACTTTCTGCTCTTTATTTCAGATTTCTAGCATCCACAGTATTTTGCTTTTATTATACCCCATGTTCCCTATATATGCATATACACCCTGACAAGTTCTCTCCAGTTACCCTCAATGAATGTGTAACAATCACTTGTTTATTTGTTTCACTCAGACTATGGAATTGTTGCCAGAGCCTATGAGATCATAACATATGGCATCTGGAGATAATTACCACCACTTTCATAAAATGAAACTGAAGTGTTTTCCCACACCCTAGAGTTGTACAGGATGGAAACAGACCTTTGATCCAACTCGCCCATGCTGACCAGATATTCTAAATTAAATCTGGTCCCATTTGCCAGCATTTGGCCCATATCCCTCTAACCCCTTCCCATTCATGCAGCCATCCAGATGCCTTTTAAATGTTGTAATTGTACCAGCCTCCACCACTTCCTCTGGCAGCTCATTCCATACACACACAACTCTTCTATGTGAAAAAGTTGCCCCTTAAGTTCCTTTTAATCTTTCCCCACTTACCTTAAACCTATATCTTCTAGTTTTGGACTCCCCTACCCTGGAAAAAAGACCTTGGCTATTCACTCTATCCATGTTCACCATGATTTTAAAACCTCTATAAGGTCACCCCTCGATCTCCGACACTCCCAATAAAAGTAGCCGCAGCCTAATCAGCCTCTCCCTAAAGCTCAAACCTTCCAACCCTGGCAACATCCTTATAAATCTATTCAGAACCCTTTCAAGTTGAACAACATCTTTCCCATAGTAGGGAGACCAGAACTGAACGCAGTATTCCAAAAGTGGCCTAACCAATGTCCTCTACAGCTGCAGTACGACCTCCCAACTCCATGCTCAATGCAACTGACCAATAAAGGCAAACATACCAATGTCACTTAAGCCTCCATGCATAATTCAATCCCTGTAACGCTGGGAATCAGTTTATCTCCATGACTCCCCAAAGTCCTGCCCTCTGATTTTGATCCCCAAGAAACCTTGTCCTTTTGGGTTTGTTTGCATTCTTGATGCAAACAGATGCAAGGAGCAGTGACAACATATCTCTGTCACCAGCTGCTTTCTTCTGCATTGCTGACTTTCTCTGAGTGCAAAGCCTCAACCAAGTGGCCCACACTCTTTGTGTCAGATGTGGCTCAATGTAATGTACCCACGTCTGGGTCAGAACGTTCTGGGTTCAAGGGCCACTTTAGTGACTGAGCACATAACCTAGGGTGACCCCTCAGCGTGCAGCAGAGAAAGAGTGCTGCTCTGTCAGAGACACTGCCTTTCAAATGAGCTGTTAAATTGGTACCTCTAGGGGTATAAACAATCAGGTCGTATTTCACATTGATAGTTGTGGAGGAAAGTCTCTCATGTTCTCGATAACGTTTACAGTTCAAACCACATCATTACACCAACTGATATGAGCATTATCTTGAGTTGTTTGTGTGACCTTACTGTCCTTTGTGTTGGTGGGACAGTTGGTTTGTGATGCCAACAGTGTGGGTTCAATTCCTGCATTGGCTGAGGTTATCATGAAGGACTCTCCTTCTCAACCACTGCCCCCCTCCCCCCACCCTTGCCAGAGGCATGGTGACCCTCAGGCTGAACCACCACCAGTCATTTCTCTCTCTGTCTCTCTCTTTCTAATGACAGCACTCCTCTGGAACTATAGTGACTTTGCTCTGTACAAGTTGACAACCATGTTTCCCTCCACTCCAGTTCAGAGTGTAAAGAACATTGAGTGCACTGAGAGTTTGAAAAGTGCTACAGAAATGCAAGTTATTCCTTCTCTGTTTCTTCTGGAAATTAATTTTTCTTTATAATTGTTTGTCAACAGGCAAAACCAAGCATTCTCAACACAACATTCCTGTTACAAAGCTGCACACAGAGTGCAGTCAGTAAAATACGTGATGGGGAAGAAGGATCCCATCGAAACACTGACCGTGTTCAGATCCTCCTGGATCTCCTGAGAGAAGAGGGGGAATATGAGGGTGAGCTTGGAGACTGTATGTGATTGAAAATGCTTGTATTTTGTTCATGCAAATTGCCACTGTAACTTTAATACTGGTGTCAAACAGCTTCAGTCTCACACCACATGAAACATACATCATGTAAATGGGATGTTCAGTCCAGTTGACTTCACGAAATCTCCCTGTTGTGGAAAGTCCAGCTCGGACACTCAGTTTACATTGCATGAGCACAACTGTTGTCATTTTGAAGCATGCTTAATTAGGGAATCGGGGAGAGAGCGGTCCCTCCGGAAGGCAGATAAGGGTGGGGAGGGAAATATGACAGAATTCCCCTTGTCCTCATGTACCACCCCATTAACATCCGGATTCAACGCATCATTCCCCGCCACTTCTGCCACCTGCAATCTGACCCCACTACCAAGGATATATTTCCCTCCCCACCCTTATCTGCCTTCCGGAGGGACCGCTGTCTCCGCGACTCCCTCGTCCGCTCCACACTCCCCACTAGCCCCACCACCCCCGGCACCTTTCCCTGCAACCGCAGGAAGTGCTACACCTGCCCCTACACCTGCCCCCTCCCCTCCATCCCAGGCCCCACGAAAACCTTCCACATTAAACAGATGTTTACCTGCACATCTGCTAATGTGGTCTACTGTATCCGCTGTACCTGATGTGGCCTCCTCTACATCGGTGAGACCAAGCAGAGGCTCCGAGACCACTTTGTGGAGCACCTACGCTCAGTTCGCGACAAACAACAACACCTCCCAGTCAAAAACCACTTCAACTTCCCCTCCCACTCCCTGGACGACATGTCCATCCTGGGCCTCCTCCAGTGTCACAACAATGCCACCCGGAAACTGGAGGAACAGCACCTCATATTCCTCCTTGGAAGTCTACAACCCAATGGTCTCAATGTGGAATTTACTAGTTACAAAATCTCCCCACCCCCTCTCATCCCCGCCTCATTGACTTGTCTGTCTTCTCTCCCAACTCACTGACCAATCCCCACCACTACCTACCTGCAATCACTGCCCCCCTCCTCTATTTATTTCAGAGTCCCCTTTCCCTCTCCCATTTGTGAAGAAGGGTCCCAACCCGAAATGTCAGCTTTTCTGCTGCTCTGATGCTCCCTGGACTGCTGTGTTCCTCCAGCTCCACACTGTGTTATCTCAGACTCCAGCATCGGCAGTTCTTACTATCTCTGTGATTATAAATGTGTTGTCCCAGTCGAATTTGTGACCTTCTTAGTCCATGTGTATTGAGACCAGTGAGAATTGGTCGTGTCTCTTGGTGGCTAGTTGGTGTTCGTATATCTTCATTGTCAATTTTCTTCCAGTTTGGCCTATGTAATGTTTCTTACAGTCCATGCATGATATTTCATATATTACATTGGTTTTGTTTGTTGTGGGTATGGGATCCTTTACATTCGTCAGCAGCTGTCATAGGGTAGTTGTTGGTTTGTGGGCTACCCTGATACCTAGGGGTCTGAGTAGTTTAGTGGTTGTCTCTGATATGTCTCTGATGTATGGTACGGTGACTAGTCTGTCTGGCCGTGCTGTGCCTTCTTGTTGCAGTCTGTCACAGAGGTAATGGCAGATTGTGCTGTTTGGATTACCATTCCTTTTAAAAACTCCATATAAATGCTCCTGTTCTGCTTTGCGCAATTCCGGGTTGCTGTAGTATGTTGTGACTCATCTGAATAATGTCCTGATGCAGCTCTGTTTATGGGTGTTGGGGTGGTTGCTGGTGTAATTAAGTATCTGGTCCCTACGCTTGGTCTTTCTGTATATGTTGGTCTGGAGTCCCCTGTTGTTCTTATGTTCCATCATTACGTCTAGGAAGGGTAGTCCGTTATTGTTCTCTTCTTCTTTTGTGAATGTTATTCCTGTGAGGATGCTGTTTATGTGTCAGTCGGCGTCTTCTAGTCTCGTGCGTTTGATAATCACGAAGGTGTCATCTACATATCGGACCCAGAGTTTGGGTTATATAGTGGGGAGCGCTGTCCATTCTAAAGTTTGCATTACAGTTTCTGCTTTCAGTCCTGATATCAGGGATCCCATTGGTGTTCTGTTGATTTGTGTGAATATACATTGTTTGAATTTGTTTGAATAATTTGAACATTCCCGCAGAGAGGAATGTGTAACTGACTTTGTTGCATAGCACAATTGGTCTGGTGGGTTAGTTTGGAAGCTCTGGAAATAAGTAACTGTCTCTAGGAGAAGCTGGCCAGTTGATCAGTCAGTTCTACAGTCTATAGCCATGTAGCATAGACTCAATTACTATCTCAGAGGTGATAACTGTGTACGTTACCTTTAGTCAATGCAGTTAACCGGTCTTAAGCCAATGTAACCTGTTAGCTCACTATTGCGTAACAGACAATTTCTTGTTAGTCAAATAACTCTTCTGCTGAAGACAGTTTTGTGTTTAATTCTAATCATTTGATACAAGTAAACCCTGCAGACTAGTTTTATAGAAGAGTTGGTGGCAGACAACCAACACCCAAACCTACAGAAAGATGGACCGATAACAGCAAAGTGTCACCTTGCAGCAAAATTTGTCTTTCTGTCGTACCTTTAAGGTGTAGGCCCTAAAATTGACTATTTATGCTATTGAGAAAAACACCTTCTGCTGATGCAACACTATTTTGTGTGTCGTTTGTTACAGATCAGATCACATGTTGATCCTTTTTTATTATCGTTGGCAAAATTGACCTGAGTTTGGCTCTGGCAGAATTAATATTTACTGCATTGCATAATTCTAAAGGGCTTTTGCACCAAGGCTGATTTTTGTCCATAACAGTATTTTGATATTAAAGCCCTGCAGTAATGGTCTGTGTGTGTTTTTAACAGCACAGTTTTTGAGGACGGTAACAGAGAGACTGATGCTACAGCTGCAAGAACAGGAGGAGATATCTTCAAATCCAAAAGAATGGATGTGTAATGAGGCCAAGAAAGTCGGTGCTCTGCAGGAGGGCGGCACATTCAGGTAGCTTTCCGAGCAGTGCGGGATTCACAACATTGATGGGCTTTCTGCTGTAGTGATAGAAGATTACTTCTAGAGCCTGTACTGTTGGACCAGAATGCTGCAGCCTGACCTGTGGCTCATACACACGTTCATTCAGACTCTGTGCCAACTCGTATTGCTATGAAATAGTCTGTGCGCCGCTGGTGATTTTGCTCATTGTTCCTTGTTCACGTGAAACAGAACATATCTCCGAGATGCCTTAAAACAGAATGGCAGTGTCATCCTAGTCCCAAAAGGCCCACTTGTCTTTAGCCTTTGGCAGAGTGAGCTGATGAATGGAGTATTTAATTGATGGGAATTGCCACCCAAGTGTAGTGACTATGGTCCTGTTAATATCAGACATTATCCTTCTTCAATTCCTGAACATTTAATTAATGCTGTGGATTGCATGAGAATGGATGGATTCCTTTCTCCTTGGAATTCCCTACTTGTCTCAATAATGGCGTTTCAATGGTGAAGCAGTAGAAGTTGCATTACTGAAGATTACCTAATGTTATCCGAACGTTTGTGCTGAATCTCTATCTACATTTACAAATTCAAACGTTCATGTACAGAGCCACTGACTTTCAATTGCTATCACCACTGAATGAGATGGTCATTTGAATAGTCTAGGAATGTGTTGGCCTGTACCCATCACAGATGCTGGTGGGTGAGGGGAATGAGAGCAGGGAATATGCTGAAATTTGAATTGCTGGAAGGGGTAGGGGAGCGCAGTGGTGCAAGGCATCTTTTTGTATGTGGTCTGTGCCAACCAATGGCCTGAGCCAAATTTGGCTTTTTGCCAACCTCCAGGGGTGCCTTTTAGCTCCAAAGGTTAGTTGTTCATGGTGAAGTAAGGCTGGGGTCTACTTTGTTTCCTCAGATGTAGAGCAGGTGACTATGAATTGAATTTCTCTCCATAAAGAGCTGGTCTCATAGGGCATTGTAAAACGGCCCTTTCCTTGCCAACTGCTATCCCTCAAGGCCAAGAGGTTGGACTCAAACCACTGGGTAGACAGCAAGAAAGACTTGCATTTACATAGCGCTTTTCACCACCACTAGATGCCTAATAGCACTTCACAGCCGAGGAAGTACTTTTTCAAGCTTGGTCTCGATGTAATGTAGGAAATGCAGCAGCCAATTTGTAATCAGCAAATCCGTACAGAGTGATAACGGCAGCATAACCTGTTTTCTGCAGTGTTGACTGAGCGATAAGCATTGCCTAGAACACCCACCCATCTTCAAAATACAGCCATGGGGGCCTTTTTCATCTACCTGAGCAGGCAGAAGGGCCTCAGTTTATTGTCTCGCCTGAAAGTTGGCATCTCCAACAGTGCAGCACTCCCTCAGTACCTCACAGGCATGTCAGCAAGAGTACAAAGTAAATTGGCACATCTCCTATTTGAGTGGAAAAGGTGATCCCCTGTGGGTGGAACGTTGCTCTCTGGTGTAACATGAGTACTGGTAAGAAAGCTGGGAATAAACAGTACGAATGAAAAATAAGCTGATCCTCGACTTTGAGAAAAATGTCCCTGACTTTCCCCACAAGCCATAAATGGCGACTTCTGAATCTAACGATGGAGTGACAACCAGCCTGTGTCCATGCATTTACATCTCATTAAAAATCCAATTCACTTTATTTATGCATCACTTCTAATTCTCCAACCCTTCACCAAGAAACTAGGAAGTGCAAATTCCCAACGTGTAGGTCAGAGCCGGTATTTGTTCTTACACTTGCAGGGCATGGGAGATCATTTTCCTGTACAGTGCACCTGGGACACAGCACTAACCTCGGCTGCAATTTGTGTCCAGGCCAGTTGCGTTTGACACCCTGTGATGGTCGGATGGAAGGAGAACTGCCCTCCTCTCCATCACACACCCACCAACACCTCCACATCCTCGACCACAGTGTGGGGAGCAAACGTGCCTTTCCTCTGGGCCATGTGTTTGATTACAAGGGTTGAGCACCACAGTGTGAGGATGAGTCTCTGACCTACAGAGGCTGTGCTTTGTGGACCTGGCCTTTCCCAAAAGGAGGAGTTAATACCAGAAGGTCACAGCAGTGGTGACCATTTCCATGTCTCAGGCCATCAGAAAGGCCCCCAAGAGCCTGGTTGTATAATTGATGAAATGAAGAGCAGAAGGTTGTGTGAGAGAAGTCACTGCAAGCCATGGCAGACTGGGCACTGTGAATCTCACCCAATAAAACAATTCAACTGAAGATGAGAAATTTATGCCCATATGTTACTTGGAACAGACATTCAATGGTTATTCCAAAACCCTGTAAATTCCTGGGTTCAAATGATATATATGTGAGCGTGGTTTGTGAACATTAAGCATTTGCTGAATGGACATTCTATCCCACTGAATGGGTGCTCTAGTTCCTTGTATGATTCATTCCAGCACCTCACACAGGTCAAAGGCTCATGATGGGGATTGTAATTCTATCCAGATATACCCCTCTTTTTTGAACCATTACATGTTGTTGTCTGGATGGGGCTGTGTGCTCGGGTCACTGCCAGGCTGACAAAGATTTAAGCTGCATTGGGAACTCCTGACCCAATAGCTTAGGAAAACGGGAACTGCATATTTGAAAATACAAACATTAAATTTCTTTTCTATTGATAATGTAGACACACAGTCTGGAAGTGCATTCAGAAGGTGGTCACTCCAAACCTGGCCCTGATGATTTCCATTCTAGACAGAGACTATAACCTCAATCTTTTGGTGGATCCTAAAGTGGACACAGAAATTAAACAGCTCTGGCTCAACATTTTCAAAGATACACAGATACTGAAAGTATCTCACCAACAGCAAAGCTCAGGGTAAGAAAGCCTTCCGCAGGTGTTTGTGCATCTTTAAGTGCTGCTAATTTGTATCATGAGGTGAAATAGCTTTTATTTGTGTAAATACAATCCAGTTATTATGCGAAACAAAACTGGAATTGGAAAATATATATTTTCTGACCAGTCAAGTGGAAGCTTTCAGCCTTACACCTACAAGACTACAACACAAGAAAACCAGCTTTTGAAGGGGGACAACAACTTATACTGCATGAGGATAAGGGCAATGATCAGTGGGACAGTGTACAGTCAACTCACACAATCTTCTTGTGGCTTTCTCTAAATTATTGGCTCCATTCTAAAGTTGGGTTTCCTGTGTTTCAGTCCTGATGAGAGTAAGAAGAAAAACTTTTGATTTCATGTCTCTTTTCAACAATGTTTAAGTTCTGAAGCTGTGTGCGTGCGTCTGTGTGCGTGTGTGTTCAACATAATTACAATGTGATAATGCACATGGAATTGCTTTTCCATTAGGCCAAAGACAGAGGAAATAACAGTCAGTCACAAAGTGAGTAAAATTCGTGAAGGAATTTCCTCTGCTGCCCCTTTCAGCTGGTTGATCAGACAATACATTGACGACTTATGGGTTGAATTTCACTATTTGGAAGGTATTGCTCATTTTAAACTCAATTAATTAAATTCTAATTTTTAACAATGATTTTAAAAAGTTGCATGCCAGGTGACCGAACCTGACTGTTGTTAAAAGTTTGGTCAATAACAGGACAGCTTATGGAAAATCCAGCGTTAAGATGCTGCTGATGGAAGAGTATGGTGCTGTTTATCCTGTGTTATTGAGACCCATGTATAAGCATCCTACATGTTTCAGAATATGTGAAGTATCATTTTTCACTGTTGTCATGTACCTGTCTGTCCAATATCGTTTTCAGCATAGACTGTTAGTCATCCCCTTACTGTATGCTAGGTGCATTAGTTTAAGTGAAACCCAACTTGGGTCCATTTTAGTTTTACAGAAGAATTCATTTTGTCTTATTTATAATTTGCATTTTTAGGCAAATAACTCACAAGAACCTTCCAGCATTAAATAAGACCATTAGAAATAGGAACACGAGTAGGTTGTTCAGCCCCTTGAGGCTGCTTCGCCATTCAACAGGATATTACTTGTCAATGAAGCACAGAAAGCCAGCACACAGGGTGCAGCAGGGAAGCAGGAAGGCTAATGGGATGTTGGCCCTTATTTTAAAGGTTTTAGAGGGAAGTCTTACTGCAACTGCACAAGGGGCTGATGAGACCACATCTAGAGTTCTATGAGCTATTTTGATCCTGTTATTTAAAGGAAAATATCATTTCATTGGAGACAGTTCAGAGAAGGTTCACTAGGATAATCCATTGTATGGAGAAGTTTTCTTATAAGCAAAGGCTAAATGGGTTGGGACTGTACTCATTGGGGTTTAGACGAATGAGAGGTGATCGCATTGAAACATATAGGATTCTTAAAGACTTGAGACAGTAAATTCTGATGTTTCCTCACATGGGAAGTCTAGGAGCAGAGGGTATAGTCTCAGAATAAAGGGGCACCAATTTAAGACTGAGATGAGGAGCAATTTCTTCTCTCAGCAGGTTTTGAGTCTTTGGAACTCCTTGCCACAGAGAGCTGTGAGGGGCAGAGTCCTTGTCATCATTAGGATCCTAGTGAGTAATGGTGTTGAGAAACATCTAAACCAACTTCTGGTTATTTAAATTCCTTCCATATATTTTTAAAATAGTTCTCAAAATAATCACATCTTTTCATTTTTATGTTAATTACAAAAATTCATTTTAAATGCATACAGGTATAAACAATGAAAAGAAGTGCTTTTTAATCTTGTATTCTTGGAATATGTAAAAGGTTATGTACTCAATATTCATTAAGACTTAAACGAATCTGTTACTAAAGTGTGTTTTCACTGTCTGAGGGAGCTCCAGCTTGTGAGCAGTAATGTCCTTATGGAAGTTCAGTCCCAAAGTCTGTCCACAATCTCAGTGTAGCCCAAACAGACAATTTAAAATTTTCATCTGCACTGCCTATATAAATATATACCTTTCACCATCTTTTTGATTGTCAAACATGTTTTACAACTGCTTATTTTCTTCAAATGTCAGTTACTGAAAAATAATTGCCTCTAGAATTTTTATGTTTTCGTATCTCTTGATATGCCGAAATTATGTAATACCAAACCTCTTGAATGCTTTTGCTACCTCTAGCTCCAACGTTTTCAATACCCTCCCAGCCAGCCTTCCATCCATATCCTTTTTGGACCTCTTCTTTTCCTATCTCTTACTGCCGTTTAGCCCAAAAACCCTGCGTGCTCCTAATTCTGACCTGTAGTTCATCTGTAATTTCAATTGCACATACATTCGTGTCTGTGCCTACAGATGCCAAGGTCCTAAGACTGGGAATTCCATGCATTAACCACTCAAACACACCATTCAAGGCACTACAAAAATGCATTTTTTGGTCTTAACTACTTGTACCAGTTACTAAAAATTCAGCATGTATTTTAGATCTTGTTGGTTCTATATATGATAACATTAGAAAATATTCCTTTCATTCAGGGACAGCCAACAGAGACAGAGCAAAAATGTTGAAATTTGTTGACAGTTTTAATGAAAGTAAACTCGGACAGTATCTTGGATGTTTAAGTGAAGATGCAAAGAGTGACCTTGGCCAACGATACCTGATTGATTTCATTTTAATGACTATAAATCTTTCATCGTCTGCTGAAGTTGAGGTAAATCTGCTAATGCTTGGGAAAACAAAAATGCTACTTATATCTTTCCTAACTAATCCATTATAACTGGGTAGCTAGTGGGTGATCTGATGGTTCAGTGGTTAGCACTGCTGCCTCACAGCACCAGGGACCCAGGTTCAATTCTACCCTCTGGCAACTGTCTGTGTGGAGTTTATGCATTCTCCCTGTGTCTGTGTGGGTTTCCTCCCACAGTTGAAAGATGTGTAGGTTAGGTGGATTGACCATGCTAAATTGTCTATAGGGTCCAGGGATGTGTAGGTTAGGTGGATTAACTACAGGGCTGGGGTGGGTCTGGGTAGAATGCTGTTTGGAGGGTTGGCATGGGCCAAATGGCTTGCTTCCACATGTAGAGATTTTATGATAATTTTTAAATTAAACTTCCAGTTGTCTTACCTTCGTATGTCCCTGCTATCCCACAGCAATAAATTAGTTGTGGATCCCTCCACAATGTGTATCAGTAAGGTTGCTGACTGTACCCTCACATTCATAAGTGAATTGAATTCATAAGTGAAGTGAAGTGCATTTCATTCCATTATATACAATACTGGAGTGATGACTATGTATACCTCACCTCATAGGCATTAAAGGAACAATCAAAAGTAAAACCACTCATTTTGAGTGATAGACTCTAGGACTTTTCTATCTGGTATTTCTTGCAAATGCAAAATGAAGTGGTTTCCAATTAATATGAGGATTGTGAGCATTATAGAATATTGAAACATGACAAGTGTGTACTAGAAATGGAAATACTCCACTCTTAACCATCACTGGAGTACTCACTACTGGAAACAAAATGTAACTCAAACAAGTGAAAATGATATAGGCAAAACATATGAATTGAACATGGAGATTCCAAGCTACGTTCAGATGTATTAAATACATTTATTGTACACTGGCAGATAAAAGGTGATTCTTGATTCAGCATTTTTAAATGGTGGGACCAATCAGTTCTGCTAAGAATGCTGACCCCTATGTCACCCTCACTAGTTCTGCAAGATTTAATGAACGGTTTCCTTCTCTATGTAGTGCAATCAATGTCAGAGGGTTGCTAATCATGGGTCAACACATCTTTTAAAGTTCATTCATGGCATATGGCTAGGCCAACATTTATTACCCATTCCTAGTTACCCAGAGGGCAGTTAAGAGTCAACCACATTCTGTGACTTTGGAGTCACATGTAGGTCTGACCATGTAAAGATAGCAGATTTCTTTCCCTAAAAGGTGTTAATGAACTGGCTAAGTTTTTAAGACAATTAACATGGTCTCCAGTAGGACAGCTTTTTATTCCAGCTTTTATTGAATTCAAATTTTGCCATCTTCTGCATTGGGATTCAAACCCACATACCCAGAACATTAACCTGGAGGCTCGGGATTACTAGCCTGGTGACATTACCGCTATATCACCACCACCCACAGAGCTCTGCTGTTAATGCTATAAAGCAATATGGTGCTAGCCCAACTGGCCAAATCGAACCCTGTAGAGGCCCATTATGCACAAAATGGAAATAAACCAACAAACTATAGACTCTGCAAATCTGAAACAAAAAACAGAAATTGCCAGAGAAATGTAACAGGTCAGGCAGGTGTGAAGAAGGGTCACTGGACTCAAAATGGACTGGACTCTGTACAGATGCTATCAGACCTGCTGAGTTTCTCCAGCAATTTCTGTTTTTGATGCACATCACGGACCTCCAGTGAGCTTGTTCTAATCCAAAATTGCACTTTCTCCTGTATTGGAGAAGGAATTCTAAATATTGCTCTGCAGTGACCTCGAATTTCCCCAGACTTCCACCAGCTGCATCATCATAACATGGCCAGAGGTGCAGCAGGTTTTAATACAGTTCTGGCAAAGTTATAAGAATACAGTATCCGAAAATAGGAGCAAGTTTCAGGCAGCTGACAATTTAAAATTATTTTCGGTTGAAAGTAATACAATACAACTGCATTAAATGTTATTTTCTATTTTGTATTTTTATTAAAGGTTTTCAGGATTGCATTTGTTTCCTGCATGAATGAACTTCACAATGATTGTGATCTGACCCTTCAAGAGCAGTCACCTCCCTGGATACATATTGCATACAATGTTTTCAAAAACCGTCTGCATAATTTGTCCAAGACAATTTCACTCTATCCAATAATCCTGGAACACATTTACTGTTATCTACAGGGAATAATCAGTTCACAACCTCAGCAAATGGTGAGCCTTATAAAAAATAATTGCAAACTAATTAAAGATAATGAAGCAATGATAGTAAAACTCCAGGGTTTTTAAAGTCCTGTTTTGACGTCACTATTATATGTGTGGCTGCATTCATTCAACTCTTTTACTGACTAGACAGGTACATTTTGTTTTGTCCTTCAGCCATTCAGTCTTAACTGTACTTTGGATTATGATAAGTAACCGAAGAGATTGATGAGGGCAGAGCAGTAGACGTTGTTTACTTGGACTTTAGTAAAGCCTTTGACAAGGTTCGCATGGTAGATTAATTAGTAAAGCTTGATCATGTGGGATTCAGGGTGAGCTTGCCAATTGGATGCAAAATTGGCTTGACACTAGATGACAGAGGTTGATGGTGGGGGCTTGTTTCTCGGACTGGAGCCCTGTGACCAGCGGTGTTCCATAGGGATTGATACCAGGTTCACTTTTGTTTGTCATTTATATAAATGATTTGCATGACAATATAGGAGGCATGGTTAGTAAGTTTGCAGGTGACACTAAAATTGGTGGCATAGTGGACAGTGAAGAAGATTATCTAAGATTACAAAGAGATCTTAATCAATTGGGTCAATGTGCTGAGGTGTGGCAGATGGAGTTTAATTTGGGTAATACAACTGGTAATACAAACAAGGACAGAACTTATACAATTAATAATAGGGCCCTGGGCAGTGTTGTAGAACAGATAGACCTAGGAGTTCAGGTACATAATTCTTTGAAATTTGCGTAACAAGTAGACAGGATGGTTAAGAAGGTATTTAGCACACTTGCCTTCATTGCTCATACCTTTGAGTATAGGAGTTGTGACATCATGATGAGGTTCTACAAGACGTTGGTGAGGCCTCTTCTGGAGTACTGTGTGCAGTTCTGGTCACCCTGTTATAGGAAGGATATTAGTAAACTGGAGAGGGTTCAGAAAAGATTTACCAGGATGTTTCTGGGAATGGAGGATTTGAGTTATAAAACTAAACCGAAAAGATTGGCATTTTTTTCACTGGAGCATAGGAGGTTGAGGGGTCACCTTATTAAGGTTTATAAATTCATGAGGGGCATAGATAAGGTGAATGACAAGGGTCTTTTCCTTGGGGTGGATGAGTTCAAAACTAGGAGGCAAATTTTTAAGGCGAGAGGAGAAAGATTTAAACGGACATGAGGGGGCAACTTTTTTATGCAGAGAGTAGTTTACACGTGGAATGAACTTCCAGAGAAATTGGTGGATGCAGGTACAGTTCCAACTTTTAAAAGACATTTGTATAAGTTCATGAATAGGAAATGTTTGGAGGGATATGGGCCAAATGCAGGCAGGTGGGACTAGTTTAGTTTGGGAATATGGTCAGTGTGGACTGGTTGGACCGAATGGTCTGCTCTGTGCTGTATGACTCTATGACTCAATGATATATATATGTATGTGTGTTATTTAATTAAAGGCTTATGTCGGAACAGGAATACCGCATTCAGTCCATCAAGTCTGTTCCATCACTCAATGATATCATGGCTAATTGTGTACTAACTAATTGCATTTGGCCCATATCCCTTGATACATTTGTTCAGCAAAAATGTGACTGTCTCAGATTTAAAACTGACATCTAATCTATCACCTTGTGGAGAATTCCAAATTTCTACCAACCTTTGTGTGTAGAAGTCCTCCATAACTTCTCTCGTGAACTGTTTGGCCCTAATTCTCAGTCTATGCCCCCTAGTTGTAGAATCCTCAACCAGTGGAAGTATTTTATCTTTATCTACCCTGTCTTTTCCTGTTAGTGTCATATTTAAAATTGTACATTTTGCCATCCTGTTACCCTGACTTTCAGTTCCATCTAACACTCAAGTTTGCTGGTTGTGGTTGTGATAGCTTCACCCCATTTAACTCAAAAGTTGTGTGTTATGAGAGTATGTCCACAGCCTCATCAGAAACAACCAGGAGAAACAGAAAGGTTATGAGAATCAGTTAGTTATCTCTTCTGGTTCTCTGATTCTTCCAGTTGATTTAATTGAATTAAAATAACCTAAAGGAACAGTGATTTTCTTGAATCCTATGAGAAAACAATACTATTCAGTACAATGAATAATAATTTCCTCCCTAATAGCATTGTGGGTCAACCCACAGCAGGAGGACTGCAGCAGTTCAAAAAGGCAGCTCACCACCAACTTCTCAAGGGCAACTAGGGATGGGCAAGAAATGCTGGCCAGCTAGCATTGCCCACTTCCCACAAATGAATTAAAAAAAATTGTGGATTGTGAAGAGCAAAGTTGAATTCAGTATATTTTAACCTCTGGACAACAGAACTCCATGCCTCTTGCAATTTGCTAAAGGGCTTGGAGGATATACTTGAAAAAGCATTGCCTGAGTGTGACACCTTTTACCATGGAACAAGCATTGCACATCATCGTGACAGAATGAAACCCAGTGGCAAGGAAACTATGATGATTGGAGAGTCTTGTTCTTCTGTAATCTTTGTCTGCCACATCAGCCAGAGAGATCATCCAAATGGCATGTTTCCCTTTGTCTGTTCTGCAGATGAGGACTTGTTTGCCAGAGCCCTGTCCGCTGAGTTCTTCTAGGGTTCCTAACAGGCCTTCCCAGCTGAAGTAGGCCAGGATATATGGAGTCCCATTGTACTTGCCCAGTTTGGATTGATCATTTTTAATTCCAAGGCCAGACTCCATGCCGAGGACGAGGGAATGGATTTAGAATATAAATCTCGGTCTAGCCCACTCGTAAAGAACTGACTATTTCTTGATGCAAACATTAAAAATATCATAGCCTGTTAAAGGTTTGGTCCATGGTAAAAATAAGTGAGCAGTCCTAGCCTATTAGAATCATGGTTTTTGTTAATCAAGTAAAGAATGAGCATTAAAACATGACAGTACAACAAAGAAAATTGACATAAAGTTCTTAGCTTTCCCAGTTATTTAGAGTTACAGATAATTACTTAATGAAGGGAATACCTCTTCACAAGTGCAATGTTTCTGCTTATTTTTCAGATGCTTGACATATTTGCAATTTCTGCTTGTGCTGAAAAAGCTCAAGCTTTAGACATTGTGGGGCTCAAGAGCTGTAAAGAACTAGTAGAAATAATGGAAACCATGCAACCATCAGTTGAACTCATTTATGATAAAAGCTACATCAAAGCATGTGGACCACTATGTCAGCAAATCATTGATGAAATCAGGCAAGCCTGACCTTTTGTTCAACTTGAGCAGTCACTGCTAATAGATATGTTGTTCCAAGTTGCACATGTCCTTCCCTAATCCAGATCTATGGCGATGTTTTCCTTCAGTCATTAAGGTGGTATGGAGGCTCAGTGGTTAGCACTGCTGCTTCATAGTACCAGGGACCCCAGGTTCAATTCCACCCTTGGGTGACTATCTGTGTGGAGTTTGCACGTTCTCCCCGTATCGGCGTGGATTTCCTCCAGGTGCTCCAGAGTCCAAAGATGTGCAGGTTACATAGATTGACCATATTAGATTGCCCAAAATGCCCAAGGATGTGTAGGTTAGATAGATTGGGCATGGGAAATGCAGGATCACAGGGAATAAGGTTTGGGGGGCAGGGTAGGTTTGGGTGGGATGCTCTTCATAGGGTCAGTGTGAACTCAATGGGCCTAATAACCTGCTTCCATACTGTAGGGATTCTATGATTAATGTAACTGGAGCTGTCAATGCAATTAGAAAATGAATTTTACATCAATGATCTTCCATTAGTGACACTAAGCCGGGACAAAAAGAATCTAGTTTATACAGGGAAGTATATAGCATTCATACCCTTTGTGGTCTGAGACTTCCATTGTTTTACCAGAATGTGAGATAAACTATTTTAGCATGGGAGGAGAGAGCAGAGGCTGATACAAATCTATGAAGAGAGAACAAGACACTGGCATTAGTTTTAGCTAGCTCTAGCAAACACCCAAAGCAAACAGGTTGGGATATATTTTGTTCCTTCTTGTGGCCTGCCATGAGGGAGATTGCGATGTGAACTTATGACACAACCTCTAATCTATCACCATTAAACACTAAGACAAATGCATAGTTCAGTTCTGTTTTAAAGTTGATACTTTATTTTATTTTTGACATGAATAGTTTCAATGTTACAATCATACAAAGAGTTGTAATATTATTTCTTTTATGACTGGTAGATCAAACTGGGATTGCGTACTTGTGTTGGCCGTGTTTATTGAACATGTCGTATTCAGTGTACCGGACAGTGAGGCCAAGTTACGAGACATTGCTGTAAAATATTGTGCACAACTTCAGAAGGTAAAGAACAAATCTGTCCCAGGAATCAAGTTGTCATGATGTACCTGGTGACAAGACATGTATATATCAATGATTTTCATTTTTCTAAACTTATGGAAGTATTATCGCTTGTTCAGAATGCTAAACACTTGAGATTCTTGGATATATTTTTAACTCTTTCTTTATTATCAGATTGACAATCAATACTTACATGCAAATATTTCAAAAGTCTGCACTGGCAAAGTGCAATACAGTCTATACTGCCACAGAGCAGAAAGTTAGATTGCAACTCAGCACATAGCTGCCGAGTGTCATCCTTTTAATGGTGGAAAGTTAAAGTAAAACTTTACATGCTAGCTAAGCAAAACAGTTCTTCTTTAACCTTACACATCTATACCCTCATTCATAATGTTGGTTAACGTAAATATCACTTTTACTACCAGTAACTTCTTGCTTTTGTAATTCAATTGTTTATGACCACCTGCCCTTCACTGAAATCAACTTCCAATTTTTGTTCCCTATTGTAAGTCTTTTTCTGCAGCAGATTTCGCATAAAATCTCTCCTGTACTAACCTTTCTGTAGAGCATTTCTCAAAACCTCAAGGTTCTTATTCCCTGCCATGTCAAGTAAAGAGAAAGAAGGCTGAATTAGATTGAAATGTCACTGTTACAAAATATGCCTTTACCCCAGATTCAGAAGAAAACGTGACTAACACAGTACAAACTCTTCAATTTTCCACACTAACTAGCCTTATCAGAATGATATTTGTTGTCTGATTGTGGTCATGTTTGTACCAAGGTTTATTTTATACAACCCCCTCACAGCCACCAAAAAGTTGTTTCTTCACTTCTGGCTGTGCTGAACAGGCATGGATTATTCAATCCCTTGCATCTGTTTTGCCATTCAATGGGATCATGCTGAACTGTGACCTATTTCTATATACCCATCTTTGCCCTATGTCCCATAATAACTTTGACCAGCAAAAATCTACCAATCTCTGTCGGTTCCCTTTAGAACCTTAGAAACGTCAGTCACATCACACCAATAACCTTCTAAATTCCAGAGAACACAAATGTTGTTTGTGGATTCAAATCTTGGCTTTTAAGATGAAATAAAACTGTCACACCTTATTGATGTGTTGTCTGAATCCCTTGAGGGGTCAAAATGTCAATAAAACTGCCTTAAGGAAACCCATTTTCCAGAAGAAATGTCTCCTACCTTGACTCAGTCTTCTCCCCCCAGTCCAATCCCTACCCACATACATCCATGATTCATCTGACGCCTTATGCCGGTTTCAAAGCTTCCAGTTTACCGGCTCCAGCCACCTCCTCTTTACCATGATGTGCAATCCTTTACACATCCATTCCCCACCAGGAGGGTCTTAGGGCTCTCCGCTTCTTCCTGGAGCAAAGACCTGAACCATCCCCACCCACCACCACGCTCCTCGCTCGGCTGAGCTCGTCCTCACCCTCGACAACTTCTCTTTCAACTCCTCTCATTTTCTTCAGGTAAGAGGGGTTGCCATGGGTACCCACATGGGCCCTAGTTATGCCTGTCCCTTCGTGGAGTACGTGGAACATTCCTTGTTCCAGTCCTATTCCGGCCCCCACCCACAATTCTTTCTCCGATACATCGATGATATCATCGGTGCTGCTTCCCTCTCTTGTCTAGAATTGGAAAACTTCATCAATTTCGCCTCCAATTTCCACCCTGCCCTCACTTTCACCTGATCTATCTCTGACTCCTCCCTTCCCTTCCTCGACATTTCTGTTTCCATTTCTGGGGATAGACTGGCCACTAATATCCATTACAAACTCACCAACTCCCACAGCTACCTGGACTATACGTCCTCACACCCCACTTCCTGTAAAGACTCCATCCCATTTTCTCAGTTCCTCCGTCTCCGTCGCATATGTTCAGATGAGGCCAACTTTGACAAGGGAGCCTTGTCCACGTTCTTCCTCAACCGAGGATTCCCCAGCTCTGTTGACGACAGGGCCCTCAATCGGGTCCGACCCATCTCCCGCACTTCTGCCCTCACCCCTTCTCTTCCCTCCCGCAACAGCAATAGGGTTCCCCTTATCCTCACCTACCATCCCACCGGCATCCACATCCAGAAAATCATCAGACGCCATTTCCGACACCTCCAGCAAGATGCAGCCACCAGACACATATTCCCCTCCCCTCCCTTGTCCGCCTTCCGCAGGGACTATTCCCTCTGGGACACCCTGGTCCACACTTCCTTCACCCCCAACACCTCCCCACAGCCCTACGGCACCTTCCCCTGTAACCGGCAAAGGTGCAACACCTGCCCATTTACCTCCTCCCTCCCCACTATCCAAGAGCCCAAACACACCTTCCACGTGAAGCAACACTTCACCTGCACTTCCAAGAATCTAGTCTACTGCATTCGCTGCTCACAATGTGGTCTCCTCTACATTGGGGAAACGAAGCGTAGACTTGGCGACCGCTTCGCAGAACATCTACGTTCTGCTTGCAAAAAAGACCCTGAACTACCTGTTGCCTGCCACTTCAATGCACCACCTTGCTCCCTGTCCAACATCTCTGTCTCTGGCTTGCTACAGTGTTCCAGTGAAGCCCAACGCAAGCTGGAGGAACAACACCTCATTTTCCGCTTGGGGACCCTACAGCCCTCCGGAGTCAATATTGAGTTCAATAATTTTAGGGCCTAAACGCTCCCATGTCCCAGCCCCACACCCCACACACCGGGCCTTGTTACCACATAGCCTGCCACTACACACCCCCTGTTGTTAGTCACTAACAGTCCCCATTAGCAACTATTCACCCTCCCAGTCTGATCGTTAGCAACTCCTTTGTCTGTCCAACTGTCTTTCTCTCTCTTTGGGCTCTATCTTATCGTTTACTCCCTACCCCACCCACCTCCCTGTTTTCTGCATATAAACTGATGTTTTCCCAGCCACCATCAGTCCTGAGGAAGGGTCACCGGACCCGAAACGTTAACTCTGTTTTCTTCTCCACAGACGCTGCCAGACCTGCTGAGCTTTTCCAGCAACTTTGTTTTTATTCCTGATTTACAGCATCCGCGTTCTTTTGGTTTTTTTTTTAATGTCTGCAAGCTATTTTTATTTAAAAGCTAATGCTGATAATATGCCAACACAAAGCCTTAATGAATTCTTACGACTTACATCAGGTACTTCCTTTATCTGCTGTTATAATAAAGACAAAAATTATTTAATGTAAATGTATAAGCACCTCTTTTAAAATAACAGATCGAAGAATGTTGTGCAAATATGTTAAGTATTCTTCTATTAATAGCACAAACAGTAATTTTTAGGCTTAGTTCTCATAATGTGAAATGAGTCTTTGATGAGAGGGTTTTTATGTTGCCCTTTAGAAGTTTTCTGTGCTTTTTGTCTCTGAAATTGTTCCACTTTATCTTCTGACTGCGTTGAACAGTTTATTTCCTGGTTTTACACAGATCCTCAGAGTATCCTCTGATTTGAAAAAGGAAAGAATGGTTGAAGGAGTTATTGAAGTATTGCAGCTGTGCAATGAAGAAGCTAGTCACTTGGACTACAGGTACATTTTGCCTGTTAAGACACCATTTGTTTTGCCACATCTTGTGCAGTCCTTGTAACTAATTGTGTCGTTGGCTGTTAAAGTGTCATTTTGTGGCCTATAGCTCAGTCCAACTTGCCTGTGTTCCCTCAATTAGTGCTTGTCATCCTTTACACAATGTTGTACATTAATGCTTCAACACAGAATGCGGCAACACTGCCTAAACTGGAGAATGCTAATGGGCCTGAAGTTTTAATATTTCTGAATCTAAAACAAAAAGACGCTGAAGATAAATGTTGTATGTCTGCATACATACAATGTATGACTGCAAGTGCAGTAAGACCTTTCCTTACCTTCTAACTGAGGAAGGGTGCAGTCAAATTTGTAATGTCTGGAAGTTGAGAGGGCAGGAGTCAGCTGACAGTGGCTCATTTCTTGGCTGAGCCCCAGACCAAGCAGAGAAAAACTCTGCACTGAAGAGAAAAAAAGTAATCTAAGCTTCATGACTTGCTTGAATCGTACCAAATACAAAGCAGCAATGTGCCACATGTGGCTAATTCAGGTACATAGAACCCCTGCAGTGAGGAAACTGGTCCACACTGACCAAGCCTCCCGCCCAGACCCATTCCCCAATCCTGCATTTTCCATGACCAACCCACCTAGCCTGCACATCCCTGAACGCTATGGGCAATTTAGCACAGCCAATGCACCTAACCTGCACATCTTTGGACTTTGGGAGGAAACCCACACTGACACAGGGAGAATGTACAAACTCTACACAGTTACCCAAGAGTGGAATCAAACTCAGGTCCCTGGCACTGTGAGGCAGCAGTGCTAACCACTGAGCCACCATGCTGCCCAATCTCTGCTTTTGGAAGAGACTGCAGAATAGCAAACGGGTTGGAAGAGAAAACTGTCTATATTACTCAAAGATAGTAAGGACTGCTGATGCTGGAGTCAGAGATAACACAATGTGGAGCTGGAGGAACACAGCAGGCCAGGCAGCATCAGAGGAGCAGGAAAGCTGACATTTCGGGTCGTGACCCTTCTTCAGAAATCTGTCTTTGTTACAGCTTTTTAACATTTTTGTGCTATGTTGTTCTGTCTCAGATATGGCATCAAAGAATGTCCAGTCTGCTTTGGGGTGCTGAATGATCCAGCTTGCCTTCCCTGCGAACATGTCTTTTGTTTCAAATGCCTGGATCAATCACTGAGAATTCGCTCTTTTTGTCCAAAATGTAAGGCAGATGTGCCAGGTTCCTTTAAAATCGGAGTCTCCAACCAATTAAAGTAAGTTTCACTGCTGCAAATCAAGCTTCAGAGTTTTAATCTTTGCCTGATTCCTTTCATAAAAGAGGTTGTGGCAAAATTACTCAGCGCTCTGGGCACTGTGGGCAGGATGTTCAATGGATTTATGTTGAATTACCAAGCTTCAATCCAGCAGACGGGAGATTTGTACAGGTTTCTGTTGAAAATGTGGAGCATGTAAAACATGTCTGCCCAAATATGTTGTTTGCGAATGCTGTTAACTGAGACTTAGCTTGTCCCCACCCCAGCCAATATCACTTCAACCTTTCATGACTCCTCCCTATTCCGACTTTCCTGCTGCTATCCAAGATTTGACACCCTCTGAGATGAGCACATGGCATCCCTGTGTGTACCTCTCAACGTTCTCTCAAAGTACCATTAAGGCTTTATCTTTGCTTCCTTTCCTACTGTGTAGCAGCCCCAGCTGCTGCATTCTTCTAAAGTTTTTAAGATTTGTAGCTCGGGTTGTGGATGAGGTTGTAGACACGCTCGCTGAGCTGGTGGGTTTAGTTGCAAATGTTTTGTCACCCTGCTAGGTAACAACATCAGTGCCCCTCCGTTGCTTCAGTTTGCTGGGGTGGTTGGTATTTTTGTACACAGGGTCTAATTCAATGTGTTTGTTGATGGAGTTCCGGTTGGAATACCAGGCCTCCAGGAATTCCCTGGCATGTCTCACTTCGGCTTGTGGGATTATGAATGTGTTGTCCCAGCCGAATATGTGTCCATTGTTGTCCGTGTGTAGTGAGGCAAGTGAGAATTGGTCATGTCTCTTGGTGGTTGGTTGGTATTCATGTATCCGTATTGTCAGTTTTCTTCTGGTTTCACTCTATATAGTGTTTCTCACAGTCCTTGCAGGGTATTTTGTATTTTCCATTGGTTTTGCTGGTTTTGGGTATGCGATCCTTTATGTTCGTCAGTTACTGTCGTAGGGTGGTTGTCCATTTGTGGGCTACTCTGATACCCAGGGGTCTGAGTAGGCTTGTGATCATCTCTGAAATATCTGTGATGTATGATAGGGTGATTAGTGAGTCTGGCCGTGTTGTGTCTTCTTGTTGTGGTCTGTCGCGGAGGTAATGGTGGATTGTGCTTTTCAGGTATCCATTCCTTTTGAAGACTCTGTATGCGTGCTCCTGTTCTGCTCTGTGTAGTTCCAGGTGCTGCAATGTGTTATGGCTCATTTAAATAGTGTCCTGATGCAGCTCCATTTGTGGGCATTGGGGTGGTTGCTACAGTAATTGAGTATCTGGTCCGTATGTGTGGTCTTTCTATATACACTAGTCTGGAGTTCCCTGTTGTGTTTTTGTTCGACCATTATGTCCAGGAAGGATAGTCGGTTGTTGTTCTCTTTGTCGTTCGTGAATTTTATCCCAGTAAGGATGTTGTTTATGTATCAGTAGGTTTCTTCTAGTTTTGTGCGTTTGATAATCATGAAGGTGGTATCTACATATCGGACCCAGAGTTTGGGTTGTATAGTGGGGAGCGCTGTCCATTCTAACCTCTGCATTAATGTTTCTGCAATCAGTCCTGATATTGGGGATCCCATTGGTGTTCCGTTGTTTTGTTTGTATATGCTGTTATTGAAGGTGAAGTGGGTTGTGAGGCACAGATCTAGTAGTTTCGTGGTGACATCCTTATTGATGTTGTTGGTGTCCTGGGGTGCCTGCCTTCCTGATTTGTCCAAGAGTGTGGCAGTTGTCTCTTTGGCCAGGTCGATGTTTATGGATGTAAATAGTGCTGTTACATCGAAGGATATCATCATCTTGTCCTCTTCCATCCTGGTGTCCTTGATGATGTTGAGGAATTCTTGGGATGATGGAGTGGGTAGTGTTGTCCACTAAGTATTTCAATTTCTGTTGTAGTTCTTTGGCAAGTCTATATGTTGGTGTACCTGGTAGTGAGACAATGGGTCTGAAGGGGACCCTCAGTTTGTGTACCTTGGGGACTTTGTAGAATTGGGGTGTGTTGGAAGCCAGAGCCAGAAAACTGACAATACAGATTCATGAACACCAACTAGTCACCAAGAGACACGACTAATTCTCATTTGTCTCACTACACACGGACAATAAGGGACATGAATTCGACTGGGACAACACATCCATAATTGCACAAGCCAAACAGAAACATGCCAGGGAATTCCTGGAGGCCTGGTATTCCAACTGGAACTCCATCAACAAACACATTGAATTAGACCCTGTGTACAAACCACTGAGAAACAGGATTGGAAGTAATACCAACCACCCCAGCAAACCGAGGTATATAAATAACAAGCGAGATGGAACACTGCTGCATTCTTCTCTTGCCCAACTATCTACATAAGCGAGATCACCAGTGGCTAATCTCATCAGCCTCCTTCCTATTTTATTTAACCTCTCTCCCCCATCGCTGAACCCTTGGACTCTGCGAGCAGACTGACACTCATCAATCCTTTCAGTCTCCCTCCAACACATCCATTCACTTGTGAGCATAGCCTTGTTGACCTCACCCCTATCTGTAACAACCTCAGCTGATTATACTTCCTCTGGGCTACCCTGCCCAAACTTCCCCAGTTGCAAGATGAGCCTGGTTGCCACACTTCACCTTGGTCCATCACTGTACTTTATTGCCATTTTTTTCCTCCCGTAATCTTATTCCATCCCATTCATCTCTCTGGTAAAATTCATGTTTTCTACCAGACATCCAAACCCCAGATTAAATTGCTCACTGAAGGATCCTACCTTTCCTTCCTAAGCATTGACACTGAGTTAGTCCTGATCTCCAGTGATTTCAACCTCCATTTCAGCTCGCCTCTTGCCTGACTTGCACTGCTGTTTTCCTGTTTACCTCATCCCCAGATAACCTCTCCTTCCGCTGCCCCCTTGATTCCTGATGTGTCCTCTCTATCCTGATCTATGAGGCAAGACTTGACTTGATCATTTTCTTATATCCTTAAGCCACACAAGTGTATTTCAGCATGAAATAAATGCAAACAGAAGTCTGAAATTTAATGACTTAAAAAAGCTCAATGAGTCCCCAGTGTCTGCATAATATGTAGTGTAGAAGAGGTGAAATTTCAAAAACTTCCAATGTAAATATACATATATTCAAAAGAGCAGATCATAAATCTGCAGCTTAACAAGATACAGTTGGGGGACTGTAATCAGTTTATATTAGAAGTAAGAAGCTGTATTTTGGAACTGCTTGTGAACCAGTACCTATGACTTCCTGTACTATCAATGCATAGGAATATATAAGTATAGTAGGAATGATCTAGTATTGTGAATTATAGTTTAACATTACAAAGTGGTTATATTCTTAAATTGAATGCTTTTTCAATTTTACAGAAAGGCTTTGGAAAAATATAATAACTTCCGTCAGCGGTGCAATTTGTTTTTCATGGAGGTTGTTTCCAGGTTTTGCTTCAGCGAAGATTCTCCACCCTCTGATGAAGTGATTACATTGCTGCTGTCATTGCTAATAGCAGTCAGGAAACTCCCCGAAGGTATGCATCAAGGTTGAAGGTAATAAGTCTCCATTGATCTTCATATTGAAGATTTCAGTCTGTCTTCAAACATTGCAGGGACTGATGATATGACAGGTGCCTAATGCATACATTACGCAGATGCCACAGGCGTAAGATGTTCCATTCTGGGCAATGAGCAAGCTCAACTTATTATGCATTTAGCCAAAATGCAGTTCACCTACACACATCTGAAATAGCAATAGTCACATGATGCCTGTTTGGAACAGTCACAAAATGAGACACGAAATGGGGAATAAAATGTTCCCTTGACTCTACCCTCTGAAGATATTTGGATCACAAAACAAATGGAAGAGCACGGCCTATTGCATTAGACTGGGATTCCTTTCTAATCCACATACAACTCAGAATATGATCTATATTTTTACACCAGTTTGCATTGAGCCCACACCCACCTGAGAATGCCCCAGCTGATTCATTGTGAAACCTTTTAGGCCTCACTGGTCTGAGCTGAGTTGGAATTCCAACTTCAGGGAGAGAGAAAACCGAACACTGAGTGAGTGTGCTTTTGATCTTGGCCTTTACAATTGAGACTTTTACAGCTTGCATGCGTTTCCCAAATACTACTGACCAAGGTTACTTCCGTGGGCTGGTTAGCTCAGTTGGCTGGATGGCTGGTTTGTAATGCAGAGTAATGGTAATAGTGTGGGTTCAATTCCTGCATTGGCTGAGGTTACCATGAAGGACTCAAACCTCTCCTCTCGCTTGAGACATGGTGACCCTCAGGTTAAACTGCTGCCAGTCATCCCTCTCAAATAGGAGAGCAGCCTCTGGGATCGTGGTGGCTTTACTTCTTCGCTACAGATAGATGACTTTGTGTTGTAGGCTCACTGTGAAATTTGTGTATTTCAGCACTCTGTCCTCTCAAGTGGATGTTTTTTCCTTTGGCATTCCCATCTGTACATTATCTGTGCGCTGACCATGAGCACAGGTCCAAATATATAAGTTTTGCAACAAAAACAGAAATTGTCGGAAAGGCTCAGCAGATCTGGCAGCATCTGTGGCGCAACATCAGAGCTAATGTTTCAGGTTCAGTGACCCTTTTCGTCAGAACTGATGGTAGCAAGGAAAATGTTGGTTCTTATGTAGAAGATAGGGTGGGGTGGGGACAAGGAGTAAACAATAGGTGGAGATAGAGCCCAAAGAGAGAGAAGAACTAGTTACCATCAGTTCTGAGAAGGGGTCATTGAACCCAAAACATTAACTCTAATTTCTCTCCACAGATGCTGCCAGACCTGCTGAGCTTTTCCAGCAATTTCTGTTTTTGTTTCTGATTTCCAGCATCTGCAGTTCTTTTGGTTTTTGTATAAATTTTGCATATAGGTCCGCAATAAATTTCAAATAGAAGCAATCTGTCAACCTATAACAAAACAACCTTTGTTTGTAACGTTAGGTAACCTCTACCAGACTCGGAGTTTAACACCATTCTCAGAATGCGTGGACATTAATCCCATGATACGTTCCATTTTACTGAAACTTATGCTGCATTATAGGTAAGGAGGTAAAATCGCAAGTGAAATTACATATCTAGTGACATGAATTTGATAGAAGATAATTGATGCTTTTATGTTCTGAAGGTTTTTTCCAGTCCTTTTTGTTCTCCTGCTTATTGTTAACAATTACTGTTAAAGCAATTCCTCAGTGCCAGTGAAGCAGAACCAGAATGTGACAATATTGAGTCATGGAGTGTCACCATACAATTAAACAAAAGTTTATTTATTAACTTTAGTTGGATTATTAATGATCTGGGGGACGAATAATTTCCCCCACAATCTCTTGTGCCTAATTTTCCTCAGAAGCAGCTACCAAGTACTTATGGGAGCTGCCTGAAATAAGTATCGGTTCTCCCTGCACTTGCTAAACATGGTCTAATCAGCCAGTCTGGAAGGACCTACTGCAGGTTGCTAATGGAACTCTAAGCAATATAATGTTCTACTTGGATTGATGTGAAATCAGAAGCACTAGAGTTTGCCTTTCTCTGTCAATGCCTTCATACACACCCCTCCCTGCCAAACCCTACCCCCGCTCCTCCCACCTCTCACCTCCCTAAAAACCTGAGAGTTTCCCACCAGCCGACATTTCTTGGAACACAAGCCAGACATACGAATATACAAATAAAGTTGGCCACTCAAGCCTCTTCCTCCACTCGATAAGATTGTGCTGATCTGATTTTAACCTCAACTGTACATTCCTGCATATCTCCGAAAACTTTTCATCCCCTTGGTAATTAAAAACCTGTCTACCTCGCTTTAAAAATATTTAAAGATTCTGCATCTGTTGCCTTTTGAGGAAGGGAGTTTCGAAGATTCACACCCCCTGAGAGAAAAAAATGATTCATCGTCTCTATTTTAAATAGGCACCCTTTATTTTTAAACTATGAAGCCTGATTCTAGATTCTGTCGGAAGAGGAAACATCCTTTCTACATGTACCTGGTCAAGTCCCCTCAGGATCTTCCATGTTTCAATTTAGTCACTTCTGTGACTTCTCAACTCCAGAGGATACAGAGTTAGCCTGTCTAGCCTTTCCTCATAAGGTAATCTGCTCATTCTGGGTATTAGTCCAGAAAACAGTCGGCTACATCAGGGCACCTGATTGGCATTCATAGATTGCTGAGTTTATGTAGATGGTGCTCACTTTGAAGTTAGCCTCAGAATAACGTCTTCAGGTGAAAGGTTCCAGGTACACTGCCCACTTTGCGCCAGACATCATAAAATAGCCAAAATGCTGCTAGCTTTTTCTACACTCAACAAAGGAAACAATGGGGGCTCTTTAGAGATGTTCTGCACACAGTGATTTCCCCAGCTTGTTCCATGACCAACAAAACAAAGCAAGCAACTCTATTGCCCAGAGATAACAAGGT